GGGAATTTAGAGGAAGAAAGTAAAAGTAACAGATCGGGGGAGGGGGTAGAAGGAATAAGATTACCGCTTTCTTCATTTCCCTTCCGCATGCCTTTCTCCTTTCTCTTTGTGCAGTTTTGGCTCTCTTTTTCTGCTCAATTGACCCGCTTAAAAGACACACAAGTTCAAAAATTAATATCTAGGTGTCTCTGCATTCCACAAGAAGCAAGATAAAAAATCTAGAAATTCAATTAGAAAAATCGTTTTCTTTATTTATTCTTCAAGATTTGATTGCTTAGTAACTATGATGTGTAAAATGCAGGATGTGAGTTCAAAGAGACCAAACCCTACATTTTATATTTTGCCCAATAACATACTTTTGAAGACAAGTGTACACAATCTTTACTGTTACATGCACATTGTAAAACAAATTGGCATAGCCGTATTCTTTTGAACTATCGTATAGTCAGATTGAAATCAACATTCTAAACATTCTCCTGGATATTGGAGGATCACGGGTTGCTTCGTTTGTGTATGCCAAGAAATATATAGACCAGGAACCGCCAATTCTCATGCGTCAAATCTGTGTAAGTTGCAGTGGGAGGAGATCAAAACAAAGAATTTAGGGGCAACGCATCATTTTTGAGGGAAATGGGCTTAATGGGTGGAATAAGAATATATTGCTATTTTTTTTTCCATATTTTCCAAAAATCATAATTATTCGCTCTAACTTGATAAATCAACTTGTTTTTTTGTTGGGGTTTTTATATATAGTTCCTTGGTGTATGTAGTGGGTTACTAAACCCACATTGGACAATTAAATAGCTTTACTTACTACAAATCATCTACAATGATATTCCAACGCCGCGCTGTAAACTCCCCCCCCCCCCCCTTCTCCCTCCACTATATACTTCTGATTGTGGACTTTCAAGGATCACTGCATTTCAAATATAACATTCTCAGCACATTTTATCATAAAATAAAGTTTATTAAAGCTTTGTTTCATTTGAAGAACCAGATTTTTATGTAACAGAGCAAATAGTACAGTATACATACACAGACTTATAGATAATACACACCCTACTTTAAAACAAGATATGCAAAATGTTACTTAATTGAAGAGGGGGGGGGGAGGGGAGGTCTACAGTTTTCATATTAATTCGGGATTGTCATTTAATGTGCAATACACTTTTTGAGCTTAGACCAAGGAGTATGGAATAGAAGGGAGATACAACTGAGGCGGCCAGCCCTACCATTTGATTATACATGCTTTGCAGACGGTACTCTTTGTATACTGCTTTGTATAAGAAATATTCAGAATAGGTTATTTTGTATACGCGGTAATTGTACATCAGACAAATATTTCTTATTCAAATGGAGTACCCGTCTGGAAAGCCTGTATAATCATATGGTAGGGCTGGCCGCGTCAGTTCCCCCTTCTATTTCATACTCCTTGGCTTAGACCTATAATTAGCATTTTGATGTTTATCTTTTAAGCTTCCCTTGTATCTACTCTTGTCCTCATTAAAAATAGATTTGCATATTCTTATTTCAAAATTCTTTTTTTCAATTAAATATTGATTTGAGTTACACAGTGTGTCCTGAGGTTTACAGTGTGTCCTGAGTTTTACAGTGTGTCCTGAGTTTTACAGTGTGTCCTGAGGTTTACAGTGTGTCCTGAGGTTTACAGTGTGTCCTGAGGTTTACAGTGTGTCCTGAGGTTTACAGTGTGTCCTGAGTTTTACAGTGTGTCCTGAATTTTTCAGTGTGTCCTGAGGTTTACAGTGTGTCCTGAGGTTTACAGTGTGTCCTGAGTTTTACAGTGTGTCCTGAGGTTTACAGTGTGTCCTGAGGTTTACAGTGTGTCCTGAGGTTTACAGTGTGTCCTATAAAACGTTAAGAATAAAAGGGACTCCAAGTAACCATCCATCAAAAATAAAGTGGAATGTCAGATTCACACCGGTACCTTAAAAGTCTTTTTTGATAAAAATTGAATGAGATATTTATTATTTTTCTTTAAAAACATCGGTTAATTTCAAGTTTGCTTTATTTTCATTTAATTGAACTGATTAAAGTTTTAATAGAAATTTTTATTCTCCTTTGATATCAATAGGTGGTAGGCGATTATGTTAATATAATGAAGACGACTTTCGATTTCAATTTATATGTAAGTCAAGCTTTTAAACGACATGGATACACAAAAACATGGAAATGAAGAGAAGATATCAACTAAAAAGCTTCTCTTTATTTACTTGTAAAGTTATAATTCAGAAAAAAACTATTACTATTAAAACTTTAGATAAAAAGTCGTTCTCATTTAATTGATATAATCGTATTTTTTGTACTTAAAATTGGTTGCATTAATTCATTTAATATATATTCTGTACAGTAAAATTTTAAAAAATTCAGCTGTCAATCGTGAAATTTATAAATCTAAAATTAAATATATAATTTCAATATGGCGTCTCTAATGTACCGCGGCAGCGCGCAATTTACTTGATAAAGCTCGGCGTTTAAATTGAATTTGAATTCCTGACCCGCGCAAATTGATTCTATTCGTAACCTGTCCAGGACTAAAGCTTAAAAGTATAGTAATGTTCACGTGTGCCCAGGCTAACTGCTTGAATTTGACCTTCCTCTATAATTCTTAAATCTACTTGACTGAGTATGCATAATATTACATGGTTGCCTTAAAAGGTGTGTTCGTAATATCTTTTTAACATATTAAATAATCAAAAATTTAATTGGCTGTATGTTATATTGGCTTATATATAAATATAATTTTTTTTATTTTTCAATTCAATTTATTAATTATATATTCTATAATGAACCATTTGATCTATATTCCGATATTCGAAGCCTGCATTTTGAATGATATTTAAAAAACTAAATTTAGTGTTCAATTAGTATCTTTGTGTTAAATTGCTTATTTTTTATGATTAAATTTTACTTATTACGTAACCTTAGTGTATTAGAAAATGATTAATCAAAACCAGCTAAGTCTAAGAGTTTCCCTGTATATTTGACGCAAAATCAAGATTAAGGTCCATAAATGAATAGAAAAAAGTATAGTTAAACTACTTAGACTAAGTTGAGCCACTTCTCTTCAACTTGAATCACCGCTCAAACGAACTGGTTCAACTGCTTAAGAAATATAGGAATTATATATGCCTACTTTTGCTGTCTTCCCATATAAACCGACCGACCCCACCCTATAAAATATGCATGGTTTTGAGTCCAATATCTTATAGTAACTTTAGTGCTAGTTGCTTGTGTCTAATGTATACTGCTTATACGAATTGTCTTTGTCTTTATGTGGGTTTGAAACCCAGTAAATATCCAATGTTTTTAGCTTTGGCACAAGTATAATAATAATAGATGGACACTGGACATCTTAATGTGTTTGGTTAATTTTAACTCTTAATGTAAAATGCACCGTACATAAATGGGTATAAGCAAAAGGACATTCTAGTGATTAAAATGAATAATTCAATTTGGGCTCACAAACAAGATTGTTTCATGAAATGAAGAAAAAAGACTAAGAACATTTTGCATTTCGCTTCCTATTAGTTAGATTTGAACCGGTTTTGTTTCTGTCAGTTCAAAAGTTGACGACTTAGAGTGAATATTGTATTTTATTAGTAAACGTTATAAATGTATGTGATATGGTTGACTCTGTACAGTGCATATTGGTAAACGTTATAAATGTATGTGATATGGTTGACTCTGTACAGTGCATATTGGTAAACGTTATAAATGTATGTGATATGGTTGACTCTGTACAGTGCATATTGGTAAACGTTATTAATGTATGTGATATGGTTGACTCTGTACAGTGCATATTAGTAAACGTTATAAATGTATGTGATATGGTTGACTCTGTACAGTGCATATTCTTCTATATGTTAAAAACCACACCTTTAAAGACATATAACAGTTACAAGCTCAAACTATTCAAACATTTTCCTTCTAATACAGTATGACACCAATTTAAACATTGTTAGAATCCATCAATCAATGTTTAAATTCAAATATAAAGCAATGTAAATATACATACAGTAAGAACCGGAATAATATCGTCTTTGCTTTTATTTTTATTTAAATATCTCAAAAATACTTGTAATTTTTTTATTTTTGCAACTGAAACAATTATAAAAAGGTTCAAAGTCAGAATTTAATGAATTTAAGCCGCGTCTCAAATCCCCCAAAACCGGTTTCAATTGAGCGCCGTCTGAAATCTTGAAACATTTAATACGATTTTAAGTGGAACCAACCATTTTTGAGCCGCGGCTCAAATTCTTAAATTCGGCCTCAGGGCACTTGTAGAAATAGTGAAGTTTCAAATTTCCATTTCTTTTGTTTTCTACTTCTCACTGCATACAAATTAATCTTTAAACTGATATAGATATTTTCCAAAATAATTCAGAAGAACAGAGGTCATAACTTTTGTATAAATTCACTAATTCGCAATATTTAACTCAATATCAACAATGGAAAGTTTTAATCAGAATTGATTTAGCGCTAAATCCGTAAAAAAACAGTTGGCAAATATTTCTGTAAATCTCTTTTTGGCCATAAGCAGCATATTTTGTTGTTGTATCTGAGATATCTGAGATATCAAAAAGATCTCAATTTAATCCGTCAGATTGGTGCTTTTAGAGAGATTATCAATAAAAAAATGTCCACCTTCTGTTTTTGGAAACTAAAATTTTCATTTTTGCATCGCATTTGTTTTTGTAAATATTGAATTTATTAATTGTATTTTGTCTAGGTATGTATTGCCAACCCTAATATTGAATTTATTAATTGTATTTTGTCTAGGTATGTATTGCCAACCCTAATATTGAATTAATTAATTGTATTTTGTCTGGGTATGTATTGCCAACCCTAATATTAAATTAATTAATTGTATTTTGTCTAGGTATGTATTGCCAACCCTAATATTGAATTATTTAATTGTATTTTGTCTAGGTATGTATTGCCAACCCTAATATTGAATTAATTAATTGTATTTTGTCTAGGTATGTATTGCCAACCCTCCTGAAGGTCTGACCTCCTCTGGTTGTGCTCCCCAGTATCCACCAGGTATTTAAACAAATTTAATGTTTTATTTTTTTAAAATCAAGAAACATAACTTTTTATAAAATGCAGCTTGTTTGTGAGTTAAATCATTTTTTGTAATTCGACCATTGTCACTTGGAATAGAACATGGATTTGGATATCAAGCAACATTTGATAAAAAATATTTTTTCCAAGAAGTTTAAATTAAATTGTGGAAATCAGTATCAATGAAAATTAAAAATGTCCCTTAGTCCACTCTCCTCCCCTAACTCATCACTCTGATCGCCAGGTTGTTATTATGATCCTGATCCTAGAGCAGACAATTCTGTTGATCTAATCATCCTTTGATCTTCTATTGATCTATCCATCCCTCGATCTTCTATTGATATATCCATCCCTTGATCTTCTATTGATCTAATCATCCTTTGATCTTCTATTACTCTATCCATCCCTTGATCTTCTATTGATCTATCCATCCCTTGATCTTCTATTGATCTATCCATACCTTGATCTTCTATTGATCTATCCATCCATTGATCGTCTATTGATCTATCCATCCCTTGATCTTCTATTGATCTCTCCATTCCTTGATCTTCTATTGATCTATCCTTCCCTTGATCTTCTATTGATATATCCATCCCTTGATCTTCTATTGCTCTATCTCAAGGTTGTGATTGTGATCCTGATCCTTCAGCTGTAAACGCTGATGAATCCTGTCAGGCTGGCTTCAAGTGTGTCCAGTGCAAGGAATATTATCAACAAGAAAAATTTAATTTTTTCTTTAAATGCACAAATTATTCAAAATGTCGGATCGACTTGATAAGTTATGTATGTTTAAACTGCTAGTTCTTGAATAATTAAAGAAAAAATTACTAAGGAATTGAGTCTTTGCCACAAACTAAAATTTTTCTATCGTTATAACTTTGCAGCCCAATGTCGTAGAATACTGGTAAATCAAACAATTTGAGTTTTAAATATCATAGTTTTACACTATCCAGTTGCAGAGATATTGGGTTTAGAAAATCTGAGTTTGTGACAAAAACTCAATTCCTTTTAAATTATTTAAAATTGAAGATGTGTGCAAAATCAAGAATAATATTTTTCAATCTATTTTGTTGTAAAACAAATTTTTATAAATTTTCAAAGATAAATTCCTCCGAAGTGTTTACCTCCCGGATGCAATTGTGATCCCAACTCACCGGATCCGGATGGTTTCTGCCCAGCCGGAGAAATATGCAAGGTAAACCGGATCTTTGTAGGTTGGATTTTAATCCTATATTTACCAAATCCTTTATCTAGTATAGTGTATGCGAATCTATAGGCTGGATTTAAATCCTATATTTACTAAATCCTTTATCTATTTTAGTGTATGCGGATCAAGCTTGGATTTGAATCCTATATTCACAAAATCCTTCATCTAGTATAGTGTATGCGGATCTAGCTTGGATTTGAATCCTATATATTTACAAAATCCTTCATCTAGTATAGTGTCTGCGGATCTAGGAAGGATTTAAATACTATATTTACTAAATTTTTCATCTAGTATAGTGTATGCGAATCTATAGGTTGGATTTGAATCCTATATTTACAAAATCCTTCATCTAGTATAGTGTCTGCGAATCTAGCTTGGATTTGAATCCTATATTTACTAAATCCTTCATCTGTTTTAGTTTATGCGGATCAAGCTTGGATTTGAATCCTATGTTTACTAAATCCTTTATCTAGCATAGTGTATGCGGATCTATAGGTTTGATTTAAATCCTATATTTACTAAATCCTTCATCTAGTATAGTGTATGCGGATCTATAGGCTGGATTTAAATCCTATATTTACTAAATCCTTCATCTAGTATAGTGTATGCGAATCTAGCTTGGATTTGAATCCTATTTTTACTAAATCCTTTATCTAGGATTGCGTATGCGGATCTAGGTTCCCTCCAGGTTGTGACTGTGATCCTAGCTCCCCCTCTGCCAATGATTCCTGCAACTCTGGAGATCAATGCGTTCAATGCAAGGAATCATAAATTCCATTTTAAATCGAATATTTTTTAAACTTTAATACCAGTTCAATTTTTAAACATTTTAGGTTCCCTCTTATTGGCCATCTATCATATTGATAGTCTAGACCTAAGTATGTTACGACTTAACGGCATATTACGACTCAATCTATAAGATTTAGTCGTATATTAAAAAGTCATCTTTCTAACTTTCATATTCAGAAAAGTACTAAAGAATAAATACGAAAAGTCTAAATCTGATTGGTGGAAAGAGAACCTAAAGTTATGGCTCTCAGACTTTTTATTGAGAACATCAAAATCCCCGTGAAATTAAGTTTGTTTACCTTTAAAAAAAATTCAAAAAATATTTGATTGATTAGTGTTTACCGGCCGGATGTAATTGTGATCCTAACTCACCGGATCCAGATGGTTTCTGCCCAGCCGGAGAAATATGCAAGGTAAACCGGATCCGTCTGGTTTAACTATAGTTAAACCCAGAATTTCGGAAACATCGAAAAAAAAAATAGGTTTTATTCTTTTATAGCTAAATCTCAGTAATTGTAAAAATAAGAAAAAAGCCGTGAAATATGCGGGAACTGTTTTAAAGAGCTCCATATAATTATTTAATTAAAAAACTAATTATCTGCAGTATTCACTTAGGTATCCATTAGTATCCGAAGTTCTGGTTTAAACTGTATACCATGGTTCAGGTTGAGAAAGACAGGTCATTAGGAGTTGAACTATCCTTATCTAGTCCTACTACTGCTCTCTTTATAAATCCCATTTCAGGGTTGTGTATGTGGACCTGCCCTGCCCCCTGGATGTGAATGTGATCCCGATCTCCCTGATGCAGATACAGCCTGCCCTCCGCAGGAGAGATGTGTTGGTTGTCTTTGCCAGGTAGAGATCCGCCAGATGAAACCGGTTTTGAAGGGTCTGTGGAAGACGATAAATGTAAATTCTCTTAACAGAAACATCAAATAGAAATTTAAAAAATCTATTTACGCCACTTTTCTGGTGAGTTCAATCCTCATTTAAATTTTTACTGAATTCTTCCTTTACAGATATTATATTTTTGATCATTCAAGTCTTGTCATTCATATTTAAGTAATTTAACCTTGAGTTTTAAAGAAAAATTTAAACCAAACTTTTTGCAATTAGAATTCGTGCGTAACCATTAAAAAAAATATTTTTCGAATTTGAAAAAAATCGAATTTTGAACTTTTTTTAGGATTTTGATTATTTTCTGTTTAGAATTGCCCTCAGTCTGATACTTCATCGAAGGTATAGGTATACAGGGAGATTTAAGAAGCATAAATCTTCCACAACGACATTCGTCTTCCTGAAATACTGTTTGCAGCTTATATGATGCTGACTCCATGTGAATTATTTTTAAATCTAAAACCTTCTGATATCTAATGTCGTTGAAAAAGTTTATTGGTTTTAACTTTAATTTTTCATCTTGTACATTTTACATTGTGTTAATCAATTAATCAATCAATCTTTCTACAAAAATATCTATAAAAATACTTATAAAAATTGGCATCAATTTTGCAACTACGAGACTCATGAAACTGTGAAATAAGAAGACGACTGTAAGGAATGATTTATGGTTTTAAATCCAACAAACATGAAACACAGCAATTGTAAAGTGCTCAGAGACCTTTCACTTAATCCGTTGATTTTTAACTGGTTTATCTATTTGAGTAATAATAATAGTAAATACGCATGAGGTTGCTTAGATGCCGTCCTCCTATTCTACAGTTAATATTGGTCTCACTTTATCTATCTATCTATCTATCTATCTATCTATCTTTCTATATATCTATCTTTCTATCTATCTATCTATCTATCTATCAATCTATCTATCTATGGATTGGAAGGTGTTGAATCCTCCCCTGGTGTTCGTGATTGACACGACGAAGTCCGTGAAGCCTGACAAGGACTCCATCTTCAACCTGACCATGAAGGTTGTCAACACCATCAGGAAGGACAGAATAAATATCCCGAGGTAAAATATAAATTCACTTAGAGATTTTTTTTTTAGCAATACTTTTTACAATACTCGGTTTCGATGAAAAATTACAATTTTTTGCAAAAAGATACTTTTTGTTTTCATGAAAATACACTTTCATATGTTAAAATAAACTCTTTTTTTAAAAAAATACATGTTTTTGTACATTTAAATTGTATGTAAAATTTTATTTTGTTAAAATAAAGTTATAATTTTGAAACAAAAATATACTTTTTCTTTCAAAATTCTCAAAATAAGATATTCACCTTTTTTCCTCCACTATTGTTATTAAATGAATATAATGAAAATTTCCTCACAAATTTTCATTTCTTTAAAAAATAATCGAGGTTTGTTTAGTTATTTCAGATATTTATGAACAATATAAGAGTTGGGGATGAATAATAAATTTGAAAATTTGTTGTAGGTTCGTTCTTATATCACGCTTTTAAAACATTGAATTTACGCGTAATAATGCAAATGAAATATTTAGGTATCAACTTGTTTCGTTTAATGATTTTGGTCCTCCGATCAACCTCAACGTAAAAATAGAGGTCAGTCTAACTTCAAGCTAAATCAATATCGTAAATTATCAGTTCTCAAAGATTGTGGTCTCATGGTAGGTCAAGATTGTGGTACCATGGTAGGTTAAGATTGTGGTACCATGGTAGGTCAAGATTGTGGTACCATGGTAGGTCAAGATTGTGGTACCATGGTAGGTCAAGATTGAGGTAACATGGTAGGTCAAGTTATTACGGGATTTTTGATCTTGTTGGGTTTAAAAAAAACGCTGAAATTATTACATATTAATCCTGCCCCTTCTCTTTATCTTGGGCTGCAGTACTTGGTTGGACTTTTCACAATATGTTCGTTTATGGTTTATTATAGTTAAATTAACAGAACATAGAGAAACTGTTCGTTTATATCTAATATCTGATGTTGATACTATCAGAAAAAAATCCTTTTTTGGCAAAAAATAACTAAATTTTTTTACTTTTTAATTTAACTTTTTGTTCATTTCTAAAACTGAATTTTGTCCACCCCTAAAATCCCTATTATTCTCTGCCCACTGAGACACATATATAAACTGCACCTAGCTAGATAAATATATTCTCTGTACTCTACCTACACCCTGGAGTAACTACCACTAGCCCAGCATGGAACCCTATTCCACCAAGATAAATGTTCAAGTTTATCTACGCAAACATGCTCTTTAATGCGTAACAAGATAATTTGCGTACAAACAGAACATATTCAACTTCACTCTTGAGACAATTTAAAGGACACATTGCCTATATGTGGGAGGATAATAAGGATATCAACATGGATAAAAGTGGGAGGATAATAAGAATATCAACATGGATAAAAGTGGGATGATAATAAGAATATCAACATGGATAAAAGTGGGAAGATAATAAGAATATCAACATGGATAAAAGTGGGAGGATAATAAGAATATCAACATGGATAATAGTGGGAGGATAATAAGAATATCAACATGGATAAAAGTAGGAGGATAATAAGGATATCAACATGGATATCAACTACATAGAACAACTAACTAGCTTAGGAACCCAGCTTTGTCAGGAGTTTTCCCCACTCATCTTAGAATCTTTAAACCAAGCTATAAGAACATTTCTGAAGTTCTCTCGAGTTCCCGAATCAAAACATGAGGCAAATCGGTCCAGGGGTTCAGGAGTAATGATCGGACATCAGACAGAGATTACTACTTTTTATATAAAAATGTAAAATAAATTTCTCAGTTTTCTCTGAAAAATGGCCGCTACCCATGGTTCTCTTGACGTTGCAATGGCTGGTGAATTATTTTTCTCACATTTTTGTTCCCGGGGATTATAAAGTAATTTTATTTCCCCTACAAAAATTACATAATACTTTCATAGAACTTTACTGCACTGTGACCTCCCTAGCTTTGTTTACATTAATCCCACCATTGCAGTACACTTTTTACGCAAAAATTACATCCCTGAAAACTGACGAGACATATATAATACTGAAAATATGGGGTTTTAAGATTTATGTTTGTTTAATATCCCCGCAACGTTGTCTAATTTATTTAATATGTTTCGGAAATGTTCAACTACTGCTAATTACTATTTAAATTCTTCTCTTATTAAAACTTGTATTTCTACAATTTTAAGTAAATTTTACATTGTAGCGAGATTTTACATGGGTTTATTAATAGCTTCTTTTAATAAAGATCTAATGAAAAAACAATAATGTTTTGAATTTATAATGTGTTACCAAAAACCTTTAGATAGTAATAGTAATAATAATAATAATAATAATAATAATAATAATAATAATAATAATAATAATAATAATAATAATAATAATAATAATAATAATAATAATTAGAATAATACTAGGCTGATACCCCTAACGTGACTGAGTTCGAATATGCCGCCAGGAGCCTGAAGTTTGAGTCCTACAATGGGGGCAGGGACAGCAAGGAGAGGTTAACACAGGTAAATAATATACTAGCTTATGACCCCGATGTTGCCCAGGTTTATATTAATACTTACAGTTACTCCCGGCATTTACCCGCGCTCGTATGATATTAATCTATGATATTAGCTGAAGTGAACAGTGATGCCCGTGGAATTTCAAACGAAGAGCTTTACTATCTAGATATATCTACATGTGTACATATACACAATACATTCATATACTATAAATGAGAACCAGCGTGGAATAGGTATTGATGACTATCAGACTTATATTCTAATTGTAGATATAGTCCATTGAACATGAAATACATTGCATTTGTTCAGTGTGGGATGTTGGAGCACCAACGAGGTTGTAAATAACTGTAACCATTCAGGCATTTTTCAGAAATAAAACGGACCCATAGTATGGAAACTTTTTTCTGCTAAAGGCTGCACGACGAAATCGTAACAATACAAGGCTGTTTACCTATAAATGCAAGGATCAATTCAACAATCCATGCAAGGATCCATGCAACCTCAATCTCCATATTCCCAGATGAGCCCAATAAATAAGTTTATAACCTGTATTCTGTTTAAACCCCAAGATGTTGCTTGTAAATAAACCTATTTCTTGATACAAGGAAGATCGATGGAAATTGTGTCCCAAAAAATCTTAAATTTTTTTAGTAAAAAAGTTGTAGCAATTGTCTAACATTTTGAAACCTTAACATTTGAATAATTTTATGAACACTTTGAATTTTTTATTTTTTTTTCATGGCCCCCCCTGTATCGATTGGTTCTGTATATTTGATTGTCTAGATATCCTAGTTTAGAATTTTAAATCTTCATTCTCTCAGATCCGTGCATAGTAAACAGTTCAGATATACAAATACGAATATATTTATGCGTAACACGACTCTGGCTCTAGATAAGGAAAATTAATGTTAAATTTGTAAAAAATGATCAAAATGTATCCAGTAAGTTTTCATGGCAAATGTTATAAAATATTAAAAGAGTAGGATTGAAAAGAATTTAAAGATTTCAAATTTTAAGAAAACTCAATTATGAAGGAACTGATTACTCGCCTCCAACTTCTAATTTTCTAAATATCTTTTGAACATAATTATACAAACCTTTCGTTTTTAAATACATATATTTATCTAGCAGGATACATAATTTGAAATATTAAAGATCTGCGACATTACATTGCTAAGATATAAGGATTAGAAAATTAGAGTTTGAGTTAAGTAATCAGTTTATTTTTGTAAAAAACTAAATGCACTTTTTAATATTTCTTTCTAGCTGTTGAGCTACAAAAAAGTCCTAAATTGTTTTTAATTGAAGTTTAGTAACTTTTAAAAATTACTGATTTTCTCTAAACATAGCAGGTTTCAATTTTCTCATTTTTTTAATTATACTTTTTCTCAATTTGCAAAGTTTTCTTTTTGTTCAGGGTTTGTTGGTAGCTCTGCAGAATGCGACCCCGAAGTCTCTGATTGTTGTCTTCACTGACAATGGTTCAAAGGACCTAAACCTGGAGAAAGAGATTATTAGGTCAAGAAATACCTAATTTAAAGGGACTGTAAGCGTAATTTCAACTTCATGCAAAGATGGAAATCTATCTCTACCAATTTTACTTCTTTCTAAATTCAATGAGTGTGTAATGAAAAAATTGTCAAAAACAATAAATGATTTCAAATTCAATCCTGCTTCAGTCAATAATTACTTTTTTACGAACACTCCCTTTAATTAAGGTTACGAGAAGAGATGGAGTGTACTATATATATTGTCCTAACTCCAGTTTACGAAGGAAAACCCGGAGATAAGAGCTTACCAGCTTATGGTAGAATGGGTCAGGTAATATTTCTAAAAACTAGAAAATCCATTTTTGAACAACTGGCCTAACCAACGAAAAAGTATAAGACAGCAATTACGAAAAAACTACATTAAGAGTTCAAAACTGGTTGTAATTGGACTTTTAGCCAGGACCTGTAGTTCACCGTGACCTAGCAACAATGAGGATGATATCGTCTTTTCTATTTCTAAACATCTTTAATTCTGACAATTTCATTCATTGTCTTACAGCATAAAGCAGCTATTCAATATTATAAAGAAACCACAGTTAAAAATAACCAATTTGTAGATAGAAAAAAAGGATATCTCATTCACCCTTGATCATACAAAGGTTTAAAGTGTACCGTTGTAAATCGAACATGCCGCTTTATAAAAGGAGGTTCACTAAAGTCGTCGTCGTAAAAAATGAAGACGACTTCCGATTCAAATGTTTGATTTCTACCAAGTTTTGCAAGCACACAAAAACATGGAACCAATGAAAAGCTGTCAAATAACAGCTTCTCTTTGTTTACCTGTAAACTTGTAGTTTGAAGAAAGCTTGAATAGAAAAATGGTATTAAATTAAACGAACATGCGTTTAAGACTAGTCGTGTTAAACTTTTATCTTGGAATTTATTTCAGGTTTTCCTGATTAGTGAGGTTGGAGCGGAAAGTTTCCTGGCAAATGTTCAAGATTTCGAGGAGAAGAACTGTCTCTAGGTATAGGCCAGAACACGGATGCGGTTCAGGCCTCTCCCGGGAGAGAAGAATAAGAAAATCGGAGCAACGTCACGAAAATAACAATTTTTCTAAAAAGCTTTGAAAAGCTTTAAAAAAATATGGGCATAATTTACTAAGACAATTTTGTTGCTTCTTTAAAAATCAATCAATCAACTAAATCAATCCGTCTAATCTATATTCCTCTAACCCTGAACTCAAAAATGCATTCATATTGAATTTTGATTTGATCTGCAATTGGCATAGAACTTCGGGCATTATCATCAATATCCACGACAAAATAATTGTAAATCGGGGAAAGTTGCTCAAAATTCATATATGGCATCATAATGTATCATAATGTATGCAACGTCTAAAGTTGAACCGTAGAGGGGGAATTGAACTGTTTGAGCGCTTCAAATAAAATGTTTAAAGGGACTGTAAGCGTAATTTCAAGTGACCTTCTGTCCTACTCTATCCCCGTAGTAAATTTCAAGTGACCTTCCGTGCAAAGATGACATTGTCCGATTAAAAACATTTTCTAATAAAGCACGAATTAAATATCAATGTTTAGATAAAACAATAATTATTTTGATTTCTCTACAACTTTGAATTGCGCATTTCTCCTACAGGAATCATCAAAATTAAACATTTGTAAACCTAGAAAAACGACGTTATCTTCCACGCTGTTGATCAGATACAGGTTTCAAGGGTACTATTGTGAATCTGGCATTGCCTTCTTTGCATTGAGTTTCTGTTAAATCACGTTTATAATCCCTTTTAGCTTCAAAAGTTTTGCTCTCTAAAATGCTAAATCCTTGTCTAGTGCTGAGCCGGTACTATAGTTCCAATTATAAAGTAAAACCAGTTTTAAAGGGATTGCCGGCATACTTTCAAGTAACCCTCCATTAAAACAAATAACATACTTTAAACCCTGTTCTACCATTAAACTTTTATCTGAGTAACAATGAGGTAAATATTATAGGTTTTTTAAAAAAATATTAAGAAGAGATCAATTCAGTCATTTTACTCATGATAAAGGGTTAAGGGTACCGTTGTGCATTAGGCATTGTTTGGACTTTTTTTAAATGTTTAACGTATTGTACTTCTAAATATTCTTAAAATTCTAAAAGGTTTTACTAAAAAATCTCAAACAAGTAAATTTTACTTTTATCACATTTAATCTGATTCTATTTTTTCTGAAAACAGAACTCGAAGTTGATAGTTGATTGAATTGGAAAAGATTGATTTACTCTTGTTTAGACTTTAAAGATACCATATTGTCAAAATTTTGACACAATTAAGGTCTTTAAAGATGTCAAAATTTTGACACAATTAAGGTCTTTAAAGATACCATATTGTCAAAATTTTGACACAATTAAGGTCTTTAAAGATTCCATATTGTTAAAATTTTGACACAATTAAGGTCTTTAAAGATACCATATTGTTAAAATTTTGACACAATTAAGGTCTTTAAAGATACCATATTGTTAAAATTTTGACACAATTAAGGTCTTTAAAGATACCATATTGTTAAAATTTTGACACATATAAGGTCTTTAAAAGAATTATGCTTACCCGGCCGGTTTACAATGTTCATTTGTGTCATAATACATATATAATTATATTTATTAAAGTAACATTATATTGTATCAATTAGTCATGTATTTTATATTAACCTGTAAATTATAATTTATAAAATTGTGCTGTGAATTTGCTTTCAACAGAATAAAGGGCATTAATTAACTATTTTATTATTACTTTAGTGAAAACTATTTTAGAGGCATTTTTAATTTATGATCTAAGACAATAATAAAAAAATTAGACAATAATAATCTTTTAAATGCTTCGTATATACTACAGAAATCGATAAAAAGACTAAGATAATTAATTCAAAATTATGTTTTTAAATGATAAAAATGTCTAGTAGGGTTTGATCACTATATATCTCTTACTTGGGCTATTAAACAAACTAAATCATAATTATATACTTTACTTGTCTGTCTGTTTGATTTTTTAATTTTATTTAATAAACGTCAAAACGGCTGAACCGATCAGGCCAACATTTTTTGAGGTAAATCACATGACATGGGAAGGTTTATGGATGCTCTGAATGCTCTGAAGGATTTTCCTAAAATTTAAAGAAAAATTAATAAATAATCCACAATTGAAAGTCTCAAAAAGTTGCCACTGGAAAAAAACATTTCTTTTGTCCGGCCCTGGTTGTTTTCAGAAATTTGTACATTATCTAAGGGGTAGGTTTTATTTAAAGATCAGGTAAGAAGAAAGATGCCGTTAATTTCCAAAAGTTATAATGGTTTTATAATTCTGTCATGCCTGGAGCGAACTCTTACCTGCAGCGAACTCTGGTTATGCTACTTTTTACTACAAAACAATCAATTTTAGTAGGCTAAAAAGCCTAAACACACTTTTTTCGGAGAAACCTTGTAGTCTAACCCTAAAATAATAAAAATAAATATCAATTTATTAATGTTGAAAAGTTTAAATTTGCGCGTGCAAGCATAATAGGGAAGGGGGAGGGGTCGAAAATCCCGATATTAGAACAGAAACAAATCCGTTCCATAAATCCAAGTGTTTGTTTATGTTTAAAGAATCTTACGCTTTGCCGCGTAGCATAACCAGAGTTCGCTGCAGGTACGAGTTCTCTCCAGGCATGACACCGGCTATCATATTAATACAAGGGTACCCATAAAGGATGACGATCCCAAGTTTAATTAAATCTTCTACCTTTAATGTGATCTTTAACTGGGTTTCTTAATGATTTGGCAAAGAAAGAAAGAACATTATAGTTGCAATGAATCATCACGAGTAGTTGAACACGGACAAAATGGATTCTGTACAGTCGTCTCTGAAGTCTCATTCTTTGTGGGTAACCAGCCCTGTAGTTTATTATCATTAACAATAATTATACTGCACGAGTTCCTTTATGCTATATGCATTGTTTTATAACATAAATTACAAGTGCTGCACAGGAGATTACGTTTGAGATATTTACTACTTATACACACGTGCATTTAACCATATTTACGCGGCATTTTGCTGTCTTGCCGCGCCCAGGTAATAAAGTATGTTTAAGATACAGAGCGTCCCATACCATTTTAGATTATCTCCAGGCTTTAACGCCAAAATAAAATCATAATACTCGAAAAACCCAGTATTTTCCGCAAGAAAATTCTTATATATAGCCTTATTCAATTTTTCCATTGACTCATTCTTATTTAATTTTCTGATTCGTAATTTACACCGATTGACGATCTAATGATGTGGGACACTCTGTATATTGCACATTTCAATGCATAAATATAGTAGTTGCTTGTATATAAACTTAAGGGACAAAGTTGCAGTATAATGACCATTTTTAAAGTCAAGTTGGTGATTTGGTGTTTGTAAGATTTGAAAATTTGTATGTTGCAAATTCAACATGGCTGATTTTTCATGTCACTCACAACCTGTTAATTTTTTACCTTTTAAGGGAGTGACTTGCTAGACATGGCTGAAAGTGCAGTATCGTAGAGAAAAACTTTAGGATTCGTTTGATACCAATGAGACATTTTTACGGTGTACATTTTTGAAATAAGAGTAGAAAGTCGTTTGTAATATTTCATGAGTCGGGTTGGTCTATAGAAGAAATGTTATTTTACACTTGCTAAAAACACGTAAAAAAATATTTTAAAATAGAAGAACCTTAGAATCGATTATTTTATTATCATCATTACCTTTGCTAGGCTGTTTCTATAATTGTATTCGCAGATTTCTTTAAAATGTCGTCTTTACAATTAAAATCAGGAAAACCTCCAACTAGCGATCCTAACTGAAAAAATTACCATAAACCTGCGAGATTTTAAAAACTTGCTTTCAATGATATAAGTTCATTATTTTTCTCAACAGCTGTTTGTATACATGCCACTAGCTTCCAGAATATAATTTGTTACATGTTTTGTCTATGTTACTTAAAAATAGTAAAAAACGTAAAAACCAATGTTTCTCTTTTATACTGCATTCTCAGTTAAACTACCATGCCTAGCCGCTCAGTCCCTTTGTTGCAGGAAGGAAATTGGGCGAAAATATTTTGTTTGCTAATTCCTTTTTTCTAATTTTATTTTAATGTATTAAAATTGTTGTTCATCAAACTATTTCCAATTCTTAAAACATAATTGTGATTCACTTTTAATAATGATTAATTTATGACAAATTAACTATTAATTAGTTTAATTACTAGTTAACTGGGAGGCTAAGAGAGGCTAAAGGGCCTCAAAAACGTTTTTGTATTTCGAGACCAAAATAAAAATATTATGATTTCAATTCTATTTTATGTTTACATGAAAAATTTAATTCAAATAAAAGTCAACTATAAAAGCTAGAATATTTTACATCTATTATTTTTAAAGACATTTGATATGTTCTTAATTGTTTAAAGGTTCTCCATGATAATACAACTTGTTGATCACCGGACCATAAATCCATGATTCTGCTCAATACCAGTTTTTCATGTGCTTAGCAACAAGATTTTGTCATCTTCGCGCTTTTTTTGCAAATTGCAATGTTACGACGTGAGAAACCTGATCCGTCATGATCTAAACCCCATGTTTTAAGTGCATTTGAATGCTACATTTTAGGAAAGGTAAAGAAAACTCTATATTTACAATCTGAAAACAGTTGAACATTTGGCCAGGATCAAGATCACCCAAGTTCTGCATTCTTTATTACTGAATGGCATGATTAAGAAAGTACAGTGATAACCATAAAACGATGGAATAGAAAGACGACATTATAATAATACTTCAGTGTTTTGATGTTGTTACAAAGCATATATTGTTACTCGTAACTTAGAAAAGCATTTTTTAAGTGAAATGGGTCTATGTACACTGTACAATTGCTATGTTGTTCCTTGAACTAGCTTAAGTCCTAACTTGAGTTTAAAAGTCGTCTTCCTATTTCAGAGTTTTCTGGTTTTCATCGCAGTATTTCCTGTTTTTGGCCGGATGTCAGATCATAACTTATTAACGCCTTGACTGAATAGCCTCAAATATTGACTGGAGAACTTCATTAGAATCTATAGAACCACGGGAATATTCTTTGCTTGGTTTAAAATTCTAATTTGAGTGAGTTGACTTTTACAGGGAATAATGCCAGAATACGCAGGGTTCTCAAACTAAGATCTTCTAGTTCTTTATATAAATATATATATTTATCTATAAAAAAAGTAATCTCAGTTTATTTGTTTAGATGTCCGATCATAACTCATGACACCCTGGACCAATTTGCCTCAATTTTTAATTGGAGAACTCGAAAACCCCAGGATTGTTCGTATAGCCTGATTTAAACCTTCTAAGATGAGGTTGATCTTTCAAACTTCAGACAAAGCTGGGGTTTCAGCTGCTTAAGCTAGTTGAATTTGGTATTTAACAAGATTTCTCAAATACATAGTACAAATAAAAAAGTTTTACACTGACGTTTTCAAATCCTAATTATGATCGAATGCCGCGGAAATTATGTTTAAAAAAAAAGAATTAATAAAACGATTTAATAATAATTCAGCGCATGTCCAATTCTATGAAGCTGTTCGATAACTGTTCAGCATTATTTGGGGCTTTTTATTTACATTTTCAATATTCTGAAAAAAAATTTGTCTTTATAGAGACAGACCGGCTATGCAAGGTAGTTAAACTGAGTATGCAGTGTTGTGGACAAATTCTTAAGGATTCATTTGAGACATATATAAACGTTTCCACGATGTAAAATTACAGAGGTTGAGTGCATAGTCGACATTCAAAATCATGAATTAAACTAATTAGATGGTTATGGACATATTTCTCAAAAGAAATTTGCCAATAAATCAATGCTAGAATCAATTACTTCGCTGTCATCATTATATTGAATTTCGTATTTTGTAATGGTTAGGTTCTACTTTCGTAGAAGGCCTTAGAAGAATCCTTCATCATCAGCCTATGGACGGGTTACTGCAATACATATACATCCCAGTAATATTTTGAATTAAGAATCTGGTAAATTATGGATCCAATTAACCAGGCAAGAAAAATTCTCCCAAAAAAAACCTTCTTTGAAATATTGGATATAATACCTAAAATGATCATCCTAGGGTAGTGGTGGTTAGTTACCAAGCTTTATAATAGGATAGAATAAAAGTGAAACATGTTAATTTGCAAACATAGCTTTGAAAATAAAGTAAAATAAAAAACTTTGCAATAAAAATCATTCATGAATACTGTATAGCAGCCCAGTGGCAAGGCTGATGCACTTCCAACATTTCACCTTGGTAAGACGATTTAAAAAATTTTCCTTTGTAAAACAGGGAGCACTGGCTCCATTACTATGGATCACGCCAACTGGTTTTGTTGACATGAACCTTTCGTGGGTCCAGTGCTCCCTTGAGCACTGGACCCACTGAATCAATTTAAATATGCTCCGAAGCGCAACTCCCAAACCACTGTTAAAGATTTTGAAAAATAAGACATGCTTTATTAACTGAAATTTCATAAAATCAAATTATCCTATTGTACCTAAAAGTTAAAATTTTAGTTTCTTGATTTAGCTTGAATTTAGATTGATTTATATAGCTCTTTGATTTAAATAGATTTATCTTGATTTGCCTTGATTTATTTTGATTTACCTTGATTTATCTTGATTTACCTTGATATATCTTGATTTTCTTTGAATTTATTCGCATATTTCTACAAATTCTTCAAATGTCGTCTTTTCAATAATAGTTCCAGAAAATCTTTGTGAATAATGAGGAACTAGAATAATGAGAAAAAAGAAACTAATAATTAACCAAGATTAATTATTTTCGATAAGATTAATTTTTATTTTCTCAACCTGTTCCTGAACAACTAATAAGTTGTTTATATTTTTTGTCGTCGTTATTTTATAATAAAAAAAAATTCTGAAAACGTATCCACCCAAAAGTAAGATTTTGAACGCCGACTCTGTGCTCAAACTCAGGATTTACAGATCTTTAAGAAGTTTTATATCAAATGAATTCTAAAGAATTTGTCCACAACACTGGATACTCAGTTCAACTACCTTACATAGCCGGTCTGTCCCTTTAAACAAAGATTATGATAATGTTTGAGTAAATGCCCAAATTGAATACAAACTTTGATTAAAAAGTACATAGACACTAGGACTCGATCCTAAAATCAGGCAGGGTTGAAGCTGCGAGCAAAAAACCTCCGTCAGCTTAGAAATATAATAGAAGACTGTGTTTTCTTCTATTCTGTTTATACAATGTTCAGCGGGAACTGCCACAGAATATTTTTTATGGCGACATTATAAAACTAATTCGTTGTATTTTTAAACATTTTTTTAAAACTTTTATTTAACCAAACTATTTAACTAATTTCTTAACTTTTAATTGTGACTATCTGTGATCATCTTATTTTACAATATTTTTTGCAGATTTAATATCATTTCTCGTGGATTTTCAAAATTTTAGAAGAAAACTTTTTGAATTTCTAATCATCCATAAACCTTTCCCGGGGTCATGCGAGGTCCCACACAGAATTTGGGCCCAATCGTTTCAACCGTTTTGACGTTTATTGGATACAACCAGACAGACAAAGTATATATATAGAAAGATTGAACAACCCAGTAAAATCAGTCCTACGGGTCCGATGCTCATTTTTACATTGTCAGTGCAGTGCCTTCTGCATATTGTACAACTAGGGGATTAAAGAATATATAATGTGTTTATTATTCAAATATAATCTAACAAAACTTTAAACAGTTTACATATAATATATGTTTCGGTTATTTCAAAAAAATATTTGGACTATTTCCTTTTCCGAGTTTTTCTTCCGGAATCATCAGGTTTTTCTTTATCTTCCTTTCTTGTTCGCTTTCTCAACTCTCTGTTGCCAGATTTCTTTTCTTTCTCTTCTTCTACGTTCTTCTTCTTCTTTGATTTAGTTTCAGTTTTAGTCTCGTTTTTCGTTTTAATTTTATCAACCTTTCTTGATTCAACGTCTTTCTCTTCGTCTGAAGTAAGAAGATCCGTTGCTGCATCAATATGCTGGTTCAGAGTCTCATCCCACTCATTATCCTCATCCAGGTCTATAATAACACTTTCATCCTCACTCCCCTCGTCCAGATCTATGATTTCACTTTCATCCCTCTTCTCCTCTTCTTCAAGAGTTTCATTGGTGTTCTCATATGATGCAAACATATCCTCGGAATCCTGGGAGTAACTGCTCTAGAACAAAATAAATAAATAATAAATAAATAAATAAATAAATGCTATTCACAACAGTATATAAATAAGTGTCAATGATATACAATTTGGTTATACAGGAAATTAATGGATTTCTAATGCACAACAATAACAAGAAAGTATCTCAATGTGTCCAATTCCAATTGTATACCACTGTAAGGAAAACTAAAAGAACAAGATACGTAAACGTTATCTTATGCACTAAATCAATTATTTTTGAAAAACTAACTATCTATACAGAATTCTTACTTTTGAGATATGATCTGTATACTGATCCAGATCATTAGAAAATTTCTCTTCTCCCTTATCTGTGTTCTCAACTCTTTCTTTTCTCATCATTTCACTTGCTTTCATAAATCCGGTACCGTGGCCTGAAAACAGACAAAAAAGGTATTGTTCATTGTACAATGTTTCAGAAGGGTATTTTTCAAAAACATTGCTAAGCTGTAAATAAAGAAAAAAATTCAAAAGTAACCTTTGCTTCCTAATCCCATGTTAACTAAATCTAACAAAGAAGGTTCAGCAACAATCAGAGAGGAATTTTGGGAATCAGTCCCGTCTTGGTCTTGGGAATCAGTCCAATCCTGGGAATCAGTCTCCGGAAGTTTCTCATCATCGCTCTCTACAACTCTATTCCGCTTCTTACTACGAGGTGGGGATTCCCATGGACAAATGAGATCCTCGAGATCAGAGTCTGAATCCATGGAGATCTCAATAGGCTTGGATGTAGATTTTCCACTTGGTTTTTTAGTTTTCTTGAGAATAGGACTTGGGCCAGGTTTTTCAGATCTAAAAAAAAAGAATTATCAATTATTCATATCATCAGTCACGGTAGCTCTCTGGATGGTACTAGAGGTGGATAAAAAAAGTGAAGAACAATTGATCAAAATAGTGCGATATATTACACTGAAATTGCAGAATATTTACATTTTAAGAATTTTTATCCACAGAAGTCTGAACACAGAGCTAAATATTAATCTTATATCGCATTTTGACTTATCTAAATTCGGATTGCATATTTTCCCACCAAAAACATAATCTGAATCTTACTTTAATAAGCATTTATCAAGGTGGATATTGAGATATTTGGCGGGAACTAAAGTTTGGCAGACTGGACAAGGATGTTTATCTTGCTGCTGAGTTCGTTCTACGCTCAGTGCCAGGCTTTCTTTTATACTCTTGGTCTCCTCTCGCGACGGTTTACGAGAATTCCCGCCTTTTTTCCGGGACACGGCAGAGCCTCGTGGATTTGCGAGTGGGGGACCAAAACTGGTTTTAGGACTGAACGATGTATTCTGTATCATGGTGAACGATTCTTTGTCTAATACCCTTTCATCTAAATTGAATTAAATGTTAGAAAATTTAATTCTTGATATTATTTATAAATACTACCTGTTTTTAGATCGGATAGTTTAGGACTTGAAAATGTTCTTAGAGATTCCGACTTCAGTTCTAATTTTGATGTTCCAGGTTTAGGTTCAGGTTCGGGGTTTGATGATCTAGGCTCTGCTGATTTGAATGGCTGAGATTTAGGTTGAGGTTTTGAGCTGTAAGCGTCTAGAATAGCTTCATCGACATCAATAGGATCCAAAGGTGTGAACAAATCTATATTTTCCTGCACCCATATTTACCAATTATTTTATTTTGAAATATTTCAAGACAAAGAAAGTCGACAACAAAAATCAAAAAAATAATATTACAGGAAATGTCAAACTAAAGGACGGTTTTCATGATTTTTTTACTCTTTTGGCCCTTTAGTAATAATTTATTATACGAGGAATGATCAATAAGTTTCGCTAAAATTTTCCTATATGTACTAGAAGTCTCAGCTCTAAACTTTTTATTTTAAGTTCACTTCATTTATACCGGATACATTTTTGGCCCGGTTGGCGTCAAATAGATTGTTGTTGTGATGTAAGAAGGGTTTTCCTAAAGGTGATAAGCTTCTTTGTCACAGCAATATCTAGAATATTAACCAGAGAAAGGAGACACATTGACAGCTTGGTTATCAAAAAAATGTTATTAGACCATGCAAAAACCAAGCAGAACTCTTTAAACATGATCCAGAACAAATTAAAAGGATTTTATAAATTATAATGAGGGTTTAATGAGGTTAAGAAGAAAAAAATTAATATTTGAAGGATCATGGCATATCTGGGCGGGAAAATACCATTCATACCCTAAAAATTGTTCAAAATATTGCGAATTGTTCAAACCAAACTAGCAAGAATTCAAGAAGTTTGTTTGCCAGATAGCTTGATATATGCTTTTACATTGTAAACGAAGTTGTAAAGCAAGATTTGAAAATGACAAAGATCTGGGTTAAATTTTTCCCAAAGTCTCTGACATAGGACCAAAGGGATTACATTAATCATGGATCTTAAATGTAAATCAAAACCAGAAAAATCCTCAAAAGTGCTTCATACATTCAATACTCAATCTCTTTTTGTTTTTGTTTCCTTGTATATAATATATACCTTTTGTATATAATAAAACGAACAAAAAACGTTTATCAAGTGGAGATTTGTTTTATAACTGGGGGTTTCCTTGTTCTTCTTTTTTGTTGATTCAATGACAGCCAATGATCCTGAAAACAATGGAGAATTTAAGGTAAATCTTTGATGTAAACCTGAGTTCTAAACAAGGAGTACAAAAGGAACTTCCACAAAATATGAGCATAATAGTTTTTGGGAGGAATGTAAGCAAACTGGGCAGCACTGTGTGTGATTCCATCCCCCCCAGGAACTGCAGTACATTTTGTTTTATGGGAGTTCTTCTTATGGTTCTATATAAATATAATTTAGGTTTAGTATTTTTCTCTCTAAAATTGTTAAAGCTTCCCTTATCGAAGTATTTCATGATAAAAAAACAAATTTAAAATAAAAAAATTCTCTAAAATGTATGAACTACCTGTTCTCAGTTTCGTTGTTTCTATTAAAGAGATAAAAGCAGATTGGTTCTCTTGAATGTATTGCCGTTGTTTTGCTTCAATACTTGCACTATCAGTATTCCTGGATAAAAAAAAGGAATTAAACATATCTAACATCAATATTTTGCAGGACTGATGTATGTAGACAAACAGGAAAATGAAAAGAATAAAAAAGTAAGGGGAATTAATGAAAATAAATAATAGGTTTGGTTCCAAATAATGAAAAAAATTATATTTAACAAACTGTAATACCTGTCGTATTGGAGTAAGGAATGGTTTCCAATCCCTTTCTTCTCCGCTGCCTCTTCCCTCTCAACCTGCCGCAGTATCTCGCGAGTAGAGCGAGGACGCTCCTGATCACATTCTGAGTTGTAGAGCAGCGTATACTTCTGGTGCCGTTTAATCAACGCTCTCCTGTCCCCCTTGACATCCAGCCCCACCTCCTTGCAGGTCTTCTTCAGCTGGGTGTCCTTCATCAGGGCATAGACAAGCTTAGGCAGGGGTTTAAGCTTCTGAACCGGTTTCTTAGGAAGAACCGGTATATTCTGACAGGTACTGAACACAAAGTGTTTTCCACGTAAAACAAGGTTGAGAGAACGGTATATTGCCTACAACAACAACCATGCTCATCAACATCCGAACCGATTGTACGGTTCGTATGTTCAAATTCACGGCGGCTGAGCTGAGTAAGCACTCCCTACCTCAGAGTCAGGTATAAATGGAATTGCAAAAGTAATTTCAAGTAATCCTCCATTTAGATGTGTGGTTTACAACTTTTATCGCAACAGACAACAAAATTGGGATCTATTGTTGTTTTTCCTTCTGGAAAAGTGTTAAATTCCGGCAATTTCCTTAGTTAATTTTGGAAGTCACTTTTAAATTGAAAATGATCCATGCTAGGATATGTCATTTATCTTTTATATAACGATGGTTTAATGAAAACCTTGTGAATCGGACATGTCACTTTAAAAATAAAGGGCACTTGAAAACTTGTCTGCATTCCTTTTAGATAAAATGGTTTCAATTCAACCAATCTATCTAAGTTGTCGGAAAATCCGCAAATTAAAATTGTAAGTATCCTGAAAAAAAAATGAAAATTGTCACCCTGCAACATTTTCCCTCTCAAAAGACTTTTATCAATAAAAAAGGCTAGATGTTTTGAATAGATAAGTTCTGGAAAACCCCATTTCCTAAGATGCTGTGACAGATTGGTGGTTGGGACTTGCACACTGCACACAGGACAGGTGGATTTAGTACGGTGCTCCGTAGAACTAGATTTACTCGGGTGCTCCGTAGAACTAGATTTACTCTGATGCTCCTTGGAACTAGATTTACTCTTATGCTCCGAAGAACAAGAATTACTCTGGTGCTCCGTAGAGTCTACACCGTTCCTGGAAGGAACCTGAGACTCACGGAGAGGGGAGAAGGTGTCAATCTTAGCCTTCTCCGTCCTACGCTCAGGAGAAGGTTTTGAATCTGGTGGTTTCAGCTCTACTGAATTCAAATCTCTAGGAAGTTTCTTTTTCTCTGATGGAAAATGCATAGTTTTATCTTTGAAATCAAAACAATTAACGGGGTATACTGTATCAAAAAATGTAAATTGATAAATAGTGATAAAGTCAACATTTTGTTCACTTGAAAATAGAAAATTTGGTATTTTCTAATAAAAATTGATTTTCCGTCCCTGGCTGAGTGATTAATGATTCTAAAGATGAAACCAGATCACGGAGAAGTCCTGCACTCTCATCTATACTCTTATTCGTCCTGTACATAGAGTTCAAGTTTAATTTTTCTGAAAGAGGGGGGGAAAGATGTTCAATGCTCTGGAGTCTTTCCCCCAGTCCAGCGAAAAAAACCTTAACAAATAGGTTATTGAAGGTTGGAATGAATAAAAATATACCCCTAAAGGATTGTTTAATATTTATGGAGATTTGAGAGGAAAAGATTAACATTCTTGGAAAAGAAGAAATTAAAAAATTCAAATATAAGTTTTATTGAAACCCATTACACCTGAACAAATTTTTTTAAACTTTCAGATTAATCCAGATCTATTTAAACTTGTTCGGATATTCGTAGATTTTAAGGTTGTGTAGTGTACAAGTGTACACTGTATAGCTGTACCTGAGTTGTCCGTCTGTTGTTAGTGTACCGCACTGCGGACACTGTTGTTTAAACAGAAGGTATTTTCGAATACAAACACTGCAGTACGTATGACTACAACCAGTTATAACCTAAAATATAATATATTTATTGCTAAGAAACATATTAGATTTTTAGTTATTTATAAAATATAGAAAGGGGTCTTTCGAATTATTAAGAGGGTGATTTAGGAATGGCAAAAAAATATATTATATGGATATGTTTTATTTAGTCAATTATTTTGTACAGGGTTATTCACAAAGAATAAGACTTAAATGACAACCCACATATTGATTCTAACAATCTGAGGGTTGAAATTAATCTAAGTCTTGAATAAAGTCTTTTTATGAAATATTAAATGATTTGTCAAATGAAAAAACTAGTTTACAGCTTTAGGGAACCATGTATTTCAAGAAAAACATTGATTAAATTCTGCACAGTCGTCTCTGAAGTCTCATGCTTTGGGAGCAACCCTGTATCTCAAAATATTTAATAAATACTAAAAAGAGGGACAGAAACGCCATGAAAACCTAGTTAACGATAATTACCGGATTCTCGAATGGATCATAGCAAATTGTACAGGTTAGCGCTGTGGCTAGGCGAGCCAGGGCAGGTACTGTAGTCTAGACAACAGATATTTTATTCATCATTTTTGATACATTGAAAACTAGAAAACTCTGAAATAGGAAGACGACTTTAAAACTCAAATTATGACTTTAAGCAGTCCGATGAAAATGAGACCCAGCAATTGTGCAGTGTAACTTGACCCATTTAAATCAACATGTGATTTAAAAGGTTATTAGTAAAAATTGTTGCTTTGTAAACGCATGAAATAAATTTAATTATTACTTTAATGTCGTCTTCCTAAGTTCCTATTTCACAGTTTTCTGGTTCTTACCGTAGTTATAAAACATGTTTATGAAGAGCTAATTTTTAACCCCAACATCATATGTTTTAATAAATAAATTGATCAAAGAAAATATAGGGGTATAAGCACTAGGACGGAGGGAAATGATTATAAAATTTTATGGCAACAAATTTACAAATTGGGAGGTTGTATCTAATAAAAAACTTTTCCCAAATTTTTTAAAATTTTCTTCATAAAATAATTACTTTCCCATAAATTCTTTTTAATTATGATTTTTGAGCTCAATTTTTATCTTTGCTAATTTCTGATTTGTTCTTTTTAGACAAAACCTTTATCACACAAAGTGGGAAGAGGAGGCATTTGCCGATTGTTTTAAAAATTAGAAATAGACAGCGCTACTAAAAAAAGGATTTTTTCCGGTTGACATTTTGCCACTTGGATTCCGTGGATTCGGATCCAGGGATCCAAAATATTGTGGATCCAATGAATCCACATTATTAGCAAGGGTTTCAAATTGTTTTCTTGTAAAAATCTTTGTTTTTGTAACACACAAAAACTATTTATAAAAATGTTATATCGTTTCGCAGTGTTCTAAAGATTTTGGACAGAAATTTTCTCTTTATCTAGAAGGTTCATGCCTTTTCAGATTTAATTTTGACCCTAGCTTTAGCGAGGGACAAAATATAATCTAAAAAGGTGAGAACCTTCGAGACATGGAGAAAATTTAAGTCCAAAAACTTTGTAACAAGTCGTGCCTAAATAATAGCATTAAAGATAATTTTATGAAACGCTTGTGTACTTGTCTAATTTCAATTGCTATTTCTAGATAAAATAAGCTTTAAAACAAAGCATACTTGACTTCTGCTTTGTTTTAAATTTCAAATGAAAAAAAAATATTTTCGAAATATCCTTAATTTTTTTTGAGAAAACCGGGAACCAATCAAAACCTAATGTACAGCTAATTTAACTTTATATAGACGTTTATTATGAAATTCACGATGAGGTGAGGAAGAATGATAAAGTAGGCAATAGTTTCATAAAATGCTTTGAAGGAAGGATTGTTGTTTTTTTTTGTTGAGAAGTTGAATAAATTCCTTGAGGTGCCGAGATATTTCCAACTGCGGCTTTAATTCATCATCTTCCGACATTTTTATCTGAAATAACGGATTTATAATATTTTTTTTTTATTTTATAAAAAATAAAAAATACAGGTACATACATTAAAAATTTGATTTTCAGAGAAAGAGGTTTATTTTTTACAATTCTGAATACTTGAATACAGTGCAAACACATGCTCAATTGGTTTTTAAAGAGTGATGATATTTTTTCTAAAGTTTCAAACTTCTAATAAAACAACAGATTTGATGGTCAAAATATACTTTCTCAAGTATTTTCAATGCATTTTAAGATTTTATAAGAAATCCATAGAAAAAAAATCAAAAACATCTGTTTGATGATATTTTTGACTCTAAAAATTAACCAAAAGCCCAATATGGACAGTAGACATTGAAAACTTAGAAATAAAAATAAATTCAGGTACATACATTACAAATTTAATTTTCAAAGAAATCCTCATTATAAACATTAAAAACATTAAAAACAGAATGAATTTTCAAAATTTTTTCTGACAATACAAGAAAAGAGTACAGCATGACAAAATAATTTTAGAGATAAAAAGTTAAAGCGCGAACGTGACTAGAAAAGGTTGGGATTGGTATATCCTCACATCCTTTTAATTGTTAGAAAACAACTTGATCACATATTTCAGGTTTAATTGATTGATTTAAAGGTGAAGTGACTGCATTTCCATCCTGACCTTGTAGAACGCCTAAAAACAAGATTTGTTTTTATATAACGCCTGATAAATAAAACAGAGTTTATAGAACTAGTTTGTAAAAAAAAGTCCTAAGCAACATTTCTTAATTAAAAGAAAATAATAGGACAGCGAAAACTTTTTTGTTTTCTGGTTTTTTCTAGATATAGACTAAACAATCTCTATCCCAGTTGGAAGGATGGGGGGAGGGACTTCACATTTTTAAAAATGCATTGCACGATTAGATTAGGTTAGAAGACGTTCAAATGGGTGTTAAAAAAATCAAAACTAGTCCATAACCTTTTAAAAACATATTTGAAAAGCAAATAATGGATGTAAAACATGTGTCACGTGCTAATAATAGTCAAAATAAAGTATTTAATTTTAAACTATTCATTTATCTCAACTAGAAAGACAAAAAGGGGGGGTCCAACCCGACCGGGACATGGTTAAGAATAAGTTAGCATATGATTTGACCTTATATTGATCTAGCTGTACCCACTCACTCTTCAAGCAATCCTCAAGACAAACTGGACATTTTGGTCTGGATTCAGAACCATGTTTTAAACTTCTATCTAAGCAGTCTCTACAGATGATACAGCTGCAGTGTAAGTGTGTGATGAGGTCGGTATCTGCCAAATCTTCCAAGCAGATATTGCAACACCTGCAACCCTCCAATCCCATTTCAGCTTCTTCTTCAGCAGCCTACAGGAAGAAAATTTTCTTCCTTTTATCCCAACAATTAGTAGAATTTTTATTTAAGTTTGTTGTATAAAAACTGTAATTTCAAGTTCTATTTATAGAGTAGCATGTCCCGATTCATAACGGTACCCTTTAAGCCTTAGTCTAATAAAAGATGTATGAGATATACTTACAGCTGGAAATTGATTGGTTTCTCTGCAACCGGTGATTTATTGAAGAGTTTGTGTGAATTTAACATATTTTAAGACAAAAAACCGTCAATATCTTTATCATTGCTATAGATTAGGTAGGGAACCGTTGAGAATCGGACATACTGAAACAGCTCCAACTGGAATTGAACATTAAATGCAACTAATTGATCAATGTTAAAACAACAAAAAGTAATACAACCTTAAGGGAAGGGGAACATGTTTTCAAGAAGGAAGGATGTCACTTATAGAGACTTTGAAAGGATTTAAAACAATTTAGCAATTCGCTAAAGATGAATACAAACCTTGAGATTTTGCGATATTTCCAACTCGGACTTAAATTCTTTCGACATATTTATCTGAAATTTCGCATTCAAATCTTAATTTTTTTTTCCTGATACAGGGATACATCACAAATTTTCAGAGTACGTGAATTATTTTTATGTTACAAAGCTGTACGATGTGAACAAACACAATCTAACACACACATTTAGCTAATGATGCTCAATTTGTAATACAAAAATAATTTTTCTTTTAAATTTTCAATCGTTTCATAAAGCTATAACATAAAATATAAAACTTTAGGGGCCTCTTACAGTGGAGGTCTGAGTCAGTAAGATAAGATATCGATAAAACAACATTTTTGTAACTAAAAATTTTCAATTAAGAGCCGCGTCATGGAAACTTAACAGAATGAGTTTTCTTAAATGTTTTCTTACAATACTTATATATTTATATTTGTAGGTCTTGAGAAAGATTCCAAATTAAACTAAACTAACTGTTACAGAGGATCCCAGAAAGAGGTTAATATTCAGAATGAAGTTTCAAAAATAATCTGATTGATTTAAAGAAGAAGTGACTGCAGATCCATCCCGACCTTGTGAACCATCGCCAGGTGTCTCTTTAAGTTTGAAATCTAAAATAAAGATGTTTGAATAAGATTTCAGCATCATGTAAATTGTAAGTGATATTAAAACAGAGGTTAGCTTAAGTTTATTTAACCAAACACCCCTCAAATGTGAATAATTTTTTTAAAACTTTTTGATACTTTTCTCCAAATAAAATACATTTTTTTGGCCGAAAAAAAGATTTTCACCCCATTGAATGAAACCTTTCCGATATAATGATGAAAAAAGTAAATTTTGAGGAGGGGGAGGGGGGGGGGGCACGAAAAAAATAGTTTGTGAACCTTGGATTGTACTTTTCCACAGATAGGACAGTCTGTGAGTCCTTTGTGCACCTCCATATGATGAGACAAACCTCCTTTACTTCTAAAATAAAAGAAATGTTTAAAGAAAGATTTGAATAATTCAACAACATTTAACCCATAATTTTTTTGTCAATTTAATTTTTCCTTTTTTTAATAAACGTAAAGCACGCACATTAATACCGACTTTAAGGAAGTGTAAGCGTAAATTCAAGTGACCTTCCAACCTCCATGAAAAGATGGCAATGTCTAATTCACAACATTTCCCTAATGAATTAGATATCAATATTTATCATTTTGAAAACGTTGATTATTTTCAATTGTGATTTCTTTACAAAAGTGGGTTGCATAATTTTATTGCAGAAAACAAAGGAAATATCAGAATTAAATACACAGGAAACCGGCAATATTTTTCAGAATATAGATCAAATGTTTCAAGAGTACCGTTATAAAGCGGGAATTTCCCTTTTTGCATGAAGGGTCACTTGAAATCACGCTTAAAGACCCTTTCGGAACTTTTTTGGGGTGATAATGGAAGAAAAGGAATAGTTTGTTTTATCAATAAAAGGAATACTTTTAAAGAAGAAAACACAAAAATATTTAAACAATTCCTAGAGGAAACAAATATTTTGTTCTTAAACGGAAAAAATGTTAAGAAAGTAAAAAAAGTCGTTTTTTTTTACCTAAATTGCTTCCCACAGTTTAAGCAAGTAAACTCCTCCCCTAGTTCATCATACCCGGAGAAATCCGAACCTCTCCTTTGGAAGGTTGAACCCGGAGAAAAATCACTTTGTATCCGTCCTGACGAGAGTGCATAGTAATCATCGTCAAATCCTGAAAATATCAAGAAATGTGAAAATAAACTTATATCTTTACCAGATGTTTTAGAACATTACAAACATATCGTAAATTTATATATAAAAAAACAGCCGAAACACTTTCATGAACACAACAAAATCCTTCTATAAATAATAGTTTTAACTTGTTTAAATTCTTTTTTAAAAACCTGTTCAGCCTCTCACTGTGGTACGTAGGTGTATTCGACAAACCGACCCAGGTTTACGGACTGTACTCGGAAAAAATCAAAAAGTTCCGATGTGAGGTGAGTCAGCAATCACTTTATCTCAGAAATCTTTTTCAAAATCACCAATTCTTTCCTATTATGTGGAACTGGGTTCAGACGTCTATAAATATTTACTTTCTAGTATTTAGAGTTTAGACTCTTTGGACAAAAATATAACTAAATTTTAAGATTATATTTTGATATATTTCAAACCTTTATAAATTCTCGAGATCTAATGTTGAAAATATACTTTGTACAGAAACAAATATAAATACTTTGTATTTTGAAAAATCACTTGAACACTTGTACCATAGGAAAAGTACAGCAGAACCATCTGGTACATAACGCATCCAATCTTGGTACATGGATTAGGCCCTAATACACAGTACATAAATCACAGTTCTGCTCGTACATAAATCTTGTGAACTGCTCGAGTGCCGAATGCCGAGCCGGTATATCTATTTTGTGAGCTGTTCTACTGCCGAGCCGGTATATCTATTTTGTGAACTGTTCTCCTATGTCTATTTAGAGTTCCAACTGTCGCAAACTGTCAATGGTGTAAATTTTAAAAAAAATTAAAATTTTACAAGCCGATAAAAATATTAATTTAAATATAATTAATATTTTAGTAATATTTTTAACGTTACACTCCTGGTAGCTGCATATATTACATGTTGTTAATCCGGCGTGAAACTTCTAAACATAACTTATTTAATCTAAATGATTGCAGTCGTGCAATCTTAATTCAGAAATCAGGATGCTGGGAAACTTGTTAATATCTAATAATAAAAATAAATGCATGTGTCTGCCAAAAGGTAATGCAAAGGGGACAGATCTTGCATGTTTTCCCCCAACATTCAAAAATCTGTTTGAAAACTGGATAAAATTCTTACCAAACATTAAAAAAATCTATTAAAAAATTTGTCGTCGTCATAAAATAATTTCCTATAATAACCCTTCCCTGGAGACCTGTACGACACAACCCCCCCCCCGCACTATGATTTCAAAATTTATAATCTCGAAAAATAGGATAAAGACAAAATAAAAATATACAGCTTTTCGAAAAATGGGATGATTAAGTTTGATTAGGTTTCCTTGTGACTGATTATAGACTCTGGATGAGTAAAGGATTTCTCACAGATAGTACAGGTATACAGGGGGAACATCAAGCTGTAGCCTACAAACATTCAACCAATATACTTTTAATCATTAAAACATAACTTATCAAAACTTAAAAAAAACAACGCCAGAACAAGGTATTGTATTATCAGATCGCATGGAAACATCATCTTACTTCTTAACCATAATATTCCAAACATCATGTTTTATTAGAATATATAAACTCAATATCCAAATCTACAATCTCAATATACAAATCAAATAGAAGAGTAAAACAGAAACAAGGATTTTCATAGAAATACTATCAAACATTTACATGATAAAAATGATATTTTTGACGCCAAGCTCTCAACTTATAACACTAGCAGCATTTTCTAAATATCTGAAAAAAAGTATCTTTCATAAAAAGATATAAAATAAAATATTTTTATTAAGATTTTTTGCATTTTTTATTCCATATAATCCTCAGTTGATATATTCACAGACTCAAACCCATCATTCACGTGAATCTTCATATGTCTTCGTAAATGAGCTTTTCTAGACATCACTTTCCCGCAGACAGGACACGCAGTTTCCCCGTTGTGAATTCTCATGTGATGTGTTAAACTTGAACGACAAGCGAAGGATTTGCCACAGAGATTACAGGAGTTTAAATCCAAGTTGTAATCCGCGAAAGGGTTTTCGTCCCAACCTAAAACATGGGAAAGTACACTTACAACAAGTTTTAAATCCTTTTTTACAAATGGTTGCAGATCAGATGTATATCATAATAAAAAGATCAAAAGAAAAATACAATTTTCATTTATTATCATAACGAATAGAAAGCTCACATTGTGTTATTTAGTTCCAGGAATAATTTGTACGATATAACATAAATTCGTCCTGTTTCAGTGACAGAACGTTTTATCGCAAAGGTGATGAATAACTTTACATTTAGAAATAACAAATATTTCAAAAATAGAAAATTCAACAATAGTTCGTGTTTCCAGATAATATCATCAAATTTTGATTTCGCGGTTTTCTTCCACTTTTCACTTATTCCGTTGTCTGCGCATGAGTTCTTAGATCCGTGTTGTGCGCAGGTTCTGAATGTTCGTTCTTGATGTGTCTGTTTAAACTACTAACTGTTCCCATTATTTTACTGCACACCTTACACACAGTCTCCCCAGTGTGAAACTAAGGACAAAAACAATTTTTAAAATTTTGTTGATAAATAAAAATGCTGAAGGTCCGGTGAAAACTAAAATGCTTATGTCAACCCTTTTCAAGAATTCTATTTATATTGATATTTCTTTGACTATTATAAACAATATGAAGTTAAAACATTTTTTGAAAAAAAATCTAAAATTAATTCTTGTCTTTTCCTTTTTGTGATTGTACCAGGCTCCGCCGTTAGAGAATACTTTATTACAAATATCACAGAACCACGTAGGTTTTGACAGCTCAGACCAAGATGGCGGAATATTTCCATCCGCCCACCTAGATTCCTCCGCCCAGGCAGCTGGAGCTTTGCCTTTCCACCCTGCAATACCAAACACAAACATCAATCTCCAACATAATTTTTATCAAATCTGTTAAAAATACTATTATTCTAGGTTTAAAAAAAGTGTTTCAATACATGTTTAAATACTATATTATCGAATTTTGATATTTACACAAGATAAGGTGAATCACACTTGGGACGAATGCTGCATTTTCATGTGTCTATACAAATTACTCCGAGTAGATTCCACTTTTCCACACACTTCACATGCAGTCCGACCGTCATGAAAAGGGGTATGATTCTGCAAACTGTTGGAAGATGCAAACATTTTGCCACAAATATTGCAGGAAAACTCCTTCGTCTTTGGCAAAGGATAGGTTGGATAAAACCATTCACCACCTGATTAAAAAAAAACTGTAATAGAAAAGAAAAAATATTTTGAAAGTACGAGTTTTAATTACAAAAATTGTGTACATCAAATTTATTTATTACAGTAAAAATATAGTTACATCACAGGTGACTAGTTTTTGTTGAAAAGAGCACATATAAGTTTGACTAGACTTATTGAAAAAACAGTAAGTTTCATAATTTTCTTCTGTGCATGACAAATAGAGGGAAATGTCGTTGTTTTTCTAACCGTGTTAAATGCTGCCAATTTCCTTCTTCGCCTCTTCTATAAAAGTCACTCTCATAGAGAAATCAAGATTGAACATAATAAATTTTATAATAGAAAAAAAGGATATCTTCGCCATACTTGCTTGATTGACAGTTATCGGGTATACAACTTTTGAATATAGTCACTTGAAATATGTTGGCTCTTAAAGGCAAGTTTTTGAAAAAGTAAAATGAAAAAAAAAAACTGTTTTTAGTGTAACAATATCATGAGACTGTACTATAGTGCACTAGTGAACTCGGCTGACCTAAGATCAAATCAAAATGGTTGTCTGGGGAGCAGTGCTCTAGTTAACTCGGCTAATCTAGGATCAATACCAGAACTGTTGTTTCTGCAGCAGTGAACTATTGAACTCGGCTGATCCAGGATCTAGATTTGTCACTGAAGGAGTGCACTAGTGAACTTGGCTGATCTAGGATCAAGGGTCTAGAATTGTTGTCTCTAAAGGAGTGCACTAGTTAACTCGGCTGATCTAGGATCAAGACTAGAACTGTTGTCTCTGAAGGAGTGCACTAGTGAACTCGGCTGATCTGGGATCTATATTATGTACTGTTTTGAGGTGGCGCCTGTAGTGCTGTACACGACTCAGTGTTGTACCGCATAGTTCACAAGTCGTGTTTATTCTGATCGAATAGAACGTAGAAAATTGTTAACCATCAAATTATCGGTTCAATTTATTTAGATTAAAAAAACTTATCAGATGCTTTACGGTTACATAAAAGGAAAGTGAAAAATTTCCTCGCCAAACTTCCTCTAAAACGTTATTTTCCATAAAACCGATATTTTAACTTCTAATAATAAATAAATAAATAACGTCCGTATTCCCTATGAATTGGTTTATGCTGGGCCAAACTCCCCTCGTTCCGAAATTCTTTTCCGCACGTTTCACATGTAAACAAACCCTCATCATCCTTCTTCAATCAATTAATCAAAGTTAATTCCTCTGGAAAATTTTTATGAAAAAAATAATGATTTCATAAAATTAATTGCTTAATTGATTGTCCTGCCTTGCCCTCCTCCAAGTCGGGTTGAAGCAAGGTTTGCCAAATTCCTGCAAAATTCAAAATTGAGATTTTGCAACAAATAATTTTTGCATTAGGAAGTGAACATTTAAAGAATCGACTTATTGCTATTGCTAGCAGCAAGAATAAAAATGTTCAAATTCTAATAAATAAATTAAATAAAAAAACAGAAGGCAAAACAGGACTAGACACAAACGTGAAATAAATATCTAAAATCTAATTTCTCCGACATAGAACTGATTCCCCTCCTTCTGCAAAGGTTCTTGCAAAATCGTCTGAATCGTCGATGCCGCCGATTTCTTTGAGAAATTGGAAGCGTGCGTCAGATCGTCGTAATCCTAGATGTTTCACAAATCCGACGAGATATTATATAAAGTACGCGAATAATTAAATTTACTAACCATGCACGAAAATAAGTACTAATCATTTTATTTTATTTTTAAATGGGACATTTTCAGACATTATTAGCAAGAAAAAAAAGAGAATCAATATCTATATAACGATTTACACCTTGAACTCGTATCTTAAAAGCAAGGTATCTTCATTTATTTCTAAAATAAAGTATTTATTGTTTTGCTGGTGCTAATGGTTTAAGGAATTACTTGTTGTTGGAAGTTTTAAAAAGTGGCAAATCTTTTTCTTTGAAAATGAAAACCTGGTGAATGAATGAAAATGTCCTCTTTGAATGAACTTCTGTACTAACCTTGTCCATCAGGATGATGTTCCGGATCCACTCCATCAGGTACAGCTAGTGCTCCCTCCTCATACCCTCCTCCATATCCATCTCCTGCACCAAGATCCAGTTCTCCTCCTCCTCCTCCATCCTCGTAGCCCAGGGCAGGTTCATCATATGGGTCATCATTCACGTCGATAACTTCTTGTTTAACAGGTTCGTTTTCTCTCTGACTAGAGGCGGAAGGGATGTGATGGCGTTTGGGAGCTGGGGCGGAGGGAACATCTGCCGGAGGCGGACGTTTTTTCTTTACAACAGGTACATTGGGCGGAAGTGTGGTGGAATCTTTGGACTGTTCACTTTGATCATCTGCATTGTCTGTTAATCCGCGAATTTTTAAGGATTCCGCGGATTTTAGAAATGAGTTGAGCTGATCCTGGGCTACGTTAACTTCCCCGTTGTACATAAATTGTAGAAGTGAGTGAAGGTCGTCGTACCGAATATCCCGGAGAACTATGATGGGATGCTGACAAGGGTTCCCCTAAATAGTTAAACATTTCATAAGTTTAACATAAATTTAACAGATTAGAAAAATTTTAATGTTTTTTTTAGTTTGATGAACATGAAACAATCAATTGTGCAGTCTAACCATACCCATTTCAATTCATAATTTGATTTTCAAGCCAATTTAAAAATCATTTGTTTTATTTCCACATCATATACACTGAATAAATGTAGTCTTCCTAGTCCACAATTTTATGTGCCCCACTGTAAAACATCCTTCATTTCTACCTTTAGAAGCTCTCTGAAGTATGGACTGCACGCTGAAAGAAGCATTTTGTGCGCTGAAAGTCGTCTTCCTTCCACTCCCAGGGTGACATCAACGAAATCGCTCTCTCCTAATTGAAGAAATAATGAGAGATGTGTAGGAGTTAATTGTGTGAGAGAGGTGGATTGGATACTTGATCAAAATATCTACAATAATTTTAGTTTTTAAATTCTTTAATAATTGTAAGAATTGTATGGTTCAAGAGTGACTTATATTCAAGAAGAACTATGTATAGGACGTAATTATCTAGGAACTCCATTTACACAGCGGCATATCCGATTCAAAACTGTACATTTTAAAACTTATAAAAGAATGAGAAAACGATTGTGTTTTACTATCTAGAAAAGTAATTAATTCTGACAGTTTCCTACTTTACATTTTCTACTGAATAAACGAACAATTGTGACTTCTAAAGAAAACAATTTAATTCAAAAATTGAAAAAATACAATTGTGAATCGGCCATACAACTCTTGAATTAGAGGGTTACTTGAAATTACATATACATCATCATAACTTGTAAAATATGAGGATCCCTAAATTAAATAAATAAGACTTCTGCCTTTAAAGTAAAGTCTTTCAATGGCTTGTTATATGATTTGGAAAATATAGAATCAAGTTTATAAAGTAACAGTCAATATCAATTCCGCTCTGTCGTCTCTGTAGTCTCATCTTTTGGGGCTATTCTTAATCAACATTAAAATGGTCGATCCGATGACGTTTCCGTCCGAATTATCTATCTATCAGATAAGAATCTTGCATGAGACATCTAACGGCCAAACTATCGTCACCGAAAGTACATCATTAGGACGGACCTTGATCATACCTTGTTGGAAAAGAACGGCCTCTGTATATTACCTAGTAAGCTCTCAAATGCCGTGACAAGATGTGCCTGGTAATTATTCCATTTCAAGGAAAACCGCTGATCCGTCCCCATCCTTATACTAGACCATTTATTCTCTGAAATATAGATATAAACAAATCAAAGAAACTATCAGATAATAAAAGAAATTATTTCAACGTAATTTTAAACTTTGAAAATACTTAAACAACTACTCTAAAAATAGATGACAGAGATATTTAAAAGAAGAAATCGTCCGAAAGCGGAGTGTGGCTTTCAACATCACAGAAGAGCAAGAAAATGGTCAAAATCATCGAAGAAAGGCCAATGTTCTACTCAACGCCTTCTAGTGAAAGGTTTATAGATAAATTTTTATGAAAAATTAGTTAGTTATAATAGGGCAAAATTAAAGATATTTGTTTATGTTAAATAATTCATGATACGAATGATACTAGTACATGGATGAAAGGATAGAATACAACTGGGCAGATGAGAGCGGGTCTGCACGGATGACTGGTTAGGTGTAGGATGCCCGGATGACTGGTCCACTGGATNAACTTACTTTGTTTTGAAGAAGAAATAGTAGAATGAATAAAAGTGTTGGTTGGGTATCGACCCAGCTCTCTCTCTCTCTAACCCCCGGCCTCCGGAGTGGGTGAATTATACATCCACACTCCATCCCACTCTCATACACGGATATAACCCTGCACAAACACACACTTGTAACTCACGAGCACAAACGCAGAAAATCTAGATAATGTATCTATCGGACAAGAATCCATAAAGCAAGATGAGACTGAAATAATATATTTGATATCTTTTCTATTAACAAAACTCACTATCTATCTATCTTCTATCCAGCTATATGATCCTATAGTTCGTTTCTAACATCCCACCACTCATTCATCATCCCTCATCCTTCATACAGGGACAAATAGTTCCCGACAAAAATACGCAAAATTTCAATTTTCAAAATCCATGATTCCAGCTTTTCATTGGACTATAACTGAATAATCCAAATTTTTTTTTTTTTAAAACCTGTCCCCTGAGACGGGGGAGGGGGAGCAAAGAGAATAAAATTTGATAAGAACTAGAGAGGAAAGATGAAGAAAAAAAAGAGAAAATATTTATAAATTATCTAAAATTAAAAATTACACTCGAAAATCACTTTTTTACAAACTAAATAATATAAATTAAATGTTTAAAAAACCTAACTTTAGCTATAAAACTAACAATCGGTTTATGAAAACAAATATTAGTGCATGAATGAAGACTGAAGTTAGTCGACCATAAAAATAAACATGAAGTAAAAAAAAGATTGAATATCACATCAAACGCAATAGTTAAAAGCTCTAATTTTGATGTATGTACAAGTCTGTACATTTAATTCACAGATCTGTACATTTAATGCACAGATCTGTACATTTAATGAACAGATCTGTACATTTAATGTACAGATCTACACATTTAATTCACAGATCTGTACATTTAATTCACAGATTTGCATATTTAATGTACAGATCTGTATATTCAATTTTCAAATCTGTACATTAGTTGTACGAGACCGTGATTTGTATGTACTTGTCTGTTATTGGGCTGCACAGCTCTGTGCTTTCACTGTATATTGTACATTTTAACCCATTCGGAAAGCACTATATACTGTACAGTGTACAGTAATTTTTACATCCCTGTATTTATCATCTCTGTATATTTTACATCCGATGTACAGTGTTCAGTTTTGTACAAGAGATGTCAAACTTAGTACCTCTGCGCTGTTAATATAAGCTCTGTGATTAATCTTTACATGAATTTTGTTTGTAAATGTGCATTTCAATCTTTTTAAAATCCTGCACATTCAAAATGGTCAAATATAAATCAAATCAAATTCACTGTGCACTATCAGAAAAACATTTATACTTATAACCAGTAAAAAGGGATCATTCTTTAAGCTTTTGAAAAGAAAGAAATTACAAATTTTAGTTACAATTTATAATTACATGATTACAACGGTTATTACACTTTTAACTGGTTATGATGCATATCTAGAAGTGTTATCACAGAACTAAGTGTAATTAAATGGAAAAGAGAAATCCAAAAAATGTTCAATTCAAAGATTACAAAGAATGAAAAAAGTAGTAATTGCATTAGCTCTGTAGTCTATGAACATAGTACATATCAACTCCGCAAATTCATTCAGGAAAAATCCGCAAAACTAACACAATCAATACATATCGTTATCGTACACTTGTGCGTCAAATTTAGGGGATTTGTTGGGTCTAATCCAAATCTTCTTAAATTAATAATACGTGTTCTACTAAACGTACAGTTACTGAAATGAGACTGCAGTACAAACAAAAATGAAATAATGAATTCTTTCACAATATTATTCGATCAATTTTTATCTGACTCGATTGAGGCAGCAACTGTTTCTTTCTAAATTGAAAAACAGCTGTTACGCGTATGTTCTAGAAAACTAATGGAAATACAAACCTAATAGGTAAATGTTAACATAAAGTCAAAGTGCTTCCGACAAATAGGAAAAATTGCAAGAATTTTTTTTACAATGTTTCGACATTGCAGATGGAATGTGTTAACTAGGCTATTATATAAGAAGGGGGGGAGGGGTAGTTAAGTTAAAAATTGGATTTTTTGGCGGAAATTGGTTCCTGTGTACTTTCACAAAAACACTCGTCAAAGTTATTAAAATAATGCTGTTCTTCATCAATGAATAGCTTTCTTCTAAATAATTCGGAAAAAGCAACAAACATGTAAGAATAATTGAGCTAAGGAACCCGATTTAGATTTTTACGTGATTAGTAAGTTTTGAATGTATACAAATTGAGAACCAGTTCTTAAAACATATTACAAGCTTCCCATAACAACGCCGACTGAATACCTAATAAAATTTTTGTTTTTGTACTTAAATCTGAAATAAATACAAGGGAACCTCTTCTGTCGAATAAAATGTTAAAAATTTAAATTTAGTCAATTTTGACGGTTCCGTAGATTTTCCAGACGAACAGACTGCTGCCCAGATATCCTGCATTTTTTATTCATTATCAACAAAATTAACAGTTTCTTATGGTTTCACTACAAAAGAGGCAGAAGGGAACCTCATCACATGTCCCTAGGCATGTTTATTGTTTAATGGCCGATGAAAAAAAAAAAATTTGCCTTTAAAAAGAATATTTACATAAAAATCCGCGAAATAGCACAAACAGAAAGTTGATAAATTGCTCTTCCAAAAAAAATGTTGGTTGATTGTGAATAATTTCCTACTGTTCCACAGACAAGTCCCAGGCCTAGGCTAAACATGGCCATGTATCCAAAATAGAACGCAGTCTGGAACAATCCGTACATCCTAAACAATTAAATGATATTTTTTTTTAATGCAACATTACAATTTACAATAAAAAATGTGTTCTTTAGCAAAGAATAAGTAAAACTAGGCAGCGTTGTCAATGTCCATTGGCCAGGTTACCCGTTAAACTTGTTTAGTCTATATACATTTAATCAACAACAACAAAAAGTTAATGTGAATTCACTAAACGGAATAGTAGAATAAAATTGTAATTATCAACTTACCTTGTTTTGAAGAAGAAATATTAGAATGAATAAAAGTAACATAAAACTTACCTTGTTTTAAAGAAGGAAAAGTATAATACAAATGTAATTATTAACTTACCTTGTTTTGAAGAAGAAAAAGTAGAATACAAATGTAATTATTAACTTACCTTGTTTTGAAGAATAAATAGTAGAATGAATAAAAGTAATTATTAACTTACTTTGTTTTGAAGAAGAAATAGTAGAATGAATAAAAGTAATTATTAACTTACTTTGTTTTGAAGAAGAAATAGTAGAATGAATAAAAGTAATTATTAACTTACTTTGTTTTGAAGAAGAAATAGTAGAATTAATAAAAGTAATTATTAACTTACTTTGTTTTGAAGAAGAAATAGTAGAATGAATAAAAGTAATTATTAACTTACTTTGTTTTGAAGAAGAAATAGTAGAATGAATAAAAGTAATTGTTAACTTACTTTGTTTTGAAGAAGAAATAGTAGAATGAATAAAAGTAATTATTAACTTACTTTGTTTTGAAGAAGAAATAGTAGAATGAATAGAAGTAAACATAGCCGGAGGTGGACGCTGCGGCTAAGAAGGAGGTCCACTGCCACCTAAATTGTGTTTTTTTTTGCATTAATCTGATTTATAATTCAAATAAAACATTTCACATAGTTTTAATTAAATTTGCTAGTATACAGTATAATACACTGTACATATTAGTGTATACTTATCACCTTTTATTAACATAATTTAATTATCACTTAACGCATGTTGTATTCAAATTCCATTTCACTGTATTTGTTTATTAGTAATTCATTTGTAAAAATCTTATCCTTCTTTGTTTTATTCATTGTTGTGCACATATATAGTACACATAGTACAAATCCATTGTATTTAATACTGATCCGGATCCTGGAGCCGTCCAAAAAAAAATTCACCCGGATCCGGATACGGCCAGATGCCCGGATACATGTACATGTACTAACCTGTAATCCTCTGCATTGAGAAGGAAGTAAGTACAAACAATAGTTACGCACACAGTCACCGTCAGAAGGATCAAAAATACTAAAAATTAAAATAGTATCATGTTTACTAACGTCAGAATATCTCAATATTTTTATAAACAAAATATTGCCTTTTGTAATTAATACTGCAAGCGTAATATCAAGTGACACATCATGTAAAGATAACAGTGTCAGATTCACAAGGGTACCCTTGAAACCTTTTTAACTGGTCAATAATGTGAAAGATATTGGCTTTTTTCTAGGTTGAAAAGTGTCAAATTCAAATAATTCCTTCAATGTTTTCCTGCAGTAAAAATGAGCAAGACACTTTTGTATGCAGAGAAACCACAGTTGATATAATTAGTTTCAAATTCATACTTCATCACCGATCAGACACAGCTTTAAAGAATATCGTTTTGAATTGGAAGAAATTGCCATCTTGGCATGAATTATCACTTGAAATTACGCATACGGTCCATTTGAAGGTGAACTATCGTTAAAATTTTAAGCGACCCTCCATTCAAAGAGGGCCCACCACAACGGCACCCCTCAAACCTCAATAATGAAGATATCGTCTTTTTTAACTTTAAAAAAATGTCTACCCTTTATTAATAAAATATATCATAATTGCACAAAAAAAATAGTTAAAATCTATGGCTCTCTAGGAAAACCCCTGAATATTAAAAATTAGCCCAAAACTTATAAAAGGCAATATCTGTAATTTGGCGCCCCCTTGCATACTAACCTAGCAGCATGAACCCGTAGACGTAGTAGATCTTGTATGCCCAGAATGAAGTAAAGATAAAGTACATCTCTATGAAGATGCTCCCGAAGGGAAGGATGCCCCCCAGGAGGATTATGACTAGGGGCTCCATAAACCATTTCTTCTCAGGGATAGGTCGGGGGACAGCGTTCACTCTGTAAACATACATATTATCAATATTCATTGATTGATCAGATCAAAAAACCAAAATAAAAATTTTGCAGAACGAAATTAAACCCCATTTAGAACAGAAGATAAAGTAAATCAACGTAAAATGTATAAATTAATAACTTCAAAATTAATTTACAATTTAATTTACTACATAGCAAATGAGCACATAGTAATAAAGAAAATATTTTGGTAAAATATTAAATTTAATTGAATTATGGACAAATCAACGGATAAATGAATAAATGAATAAATGACTGGACAAATTGACGGAAAAATGACTAAATGACTGGACAAATCAACGAATAAATGAATAAATGACTGGACAAATTAAATGATAAATGAATAAATGACTGAATAAACCAACGGATACATGAATAAATGACTGGACAAATCAACGGATAAATGAATAAATGACTGGACAAATCAACGGATAAATGAATAAATGACTGGACAAATTAACGGATAAATGAATAATTGACTGGATAAATATCAACGGATAAATGAATAAATGATTGGATAAATAAAGGGATGGATGAAAAAATAACTGAATATATAAATGGAGCGTTAACCATATTCCGGCTGGGGGGGGGGGGGGGGACTGTGCCCCCCTGACGTTTTTTGGAGATAACTATAAGAATATTGGTCTGAGGCAGTTCAAATTTTTGGGCTTTTCAAACTCACACATACTCCTTACTTTAGGCTGAGTCCTGAGTCCTCAGGCAAACTGCCAGAATGCCTTATTTAACCTTTACCCGACTAAATCTATACTTAGACCTACTTCCGGTCATTGGATTTAGACTTTTTATAGCTCTTTGGAAAGCCATGAACAAAATAAAGCATATTGTACTATTTTTGCGAAGAAATTTGGCATAGTTTTTTGCACAGATACCTTTAAAGAGAATTTGCACATTTTCAGTTTTCCTTAAATACAAATTTAGGTTTTGAAATTTGAATTTGCCGTGGTGAGGGCTTTCAAAATTGTATAATTTATCATATTTTGCGCACTTTTTGTTTTGTACATTTTTGGGTAATAACTTAAAATTGCAATAAATATTTGAAATTTAGCAAATTTGATTTTTTTTTGCAGATTATTGAAGTAAAGCCCAAGGGCTTTCCAAAAGTGTTTTAGATTTGTATCACAATTAGTAATAGGGTTAATACCTGCAAGGGAAGTCTGGGTTTCCAGCCAAATTTCTGCCAAGAACAGTTCCGACAAGATTTAAGGGAAGGATTACAAAGATACAGATACAGGATACAGCAATCTAAACATAGATACAGATACAGGATACAGCAATCAAAACATAGATACAGATACAGGATACAGTAATCTAAACATAGATGCAGATACAGGATACAGCAATCTAAATATTGAAACAGATACAGGATACAACAATCTAAACATAGATACAGATACAGGATACAGCAATCTAAACATAGATACAGATACAGGATACAGCAATCTAAACATAGATACAGATACAGGATACAGCAATCTAAATATAGATACAGATACAGGATACAGCAATCTAAACATTGAAACAGATACAGGATACAGCAATCCAAACATAGATACAGATACTGGATACAGCAATCTAACATAGATACAGATACAGGATACAACAATCTAAACAGATACATATGCAGGAAAGAGCAATCTAAACAAAGATAAAGATACAGGATACAGCAATCTAAACATAAATACAAATACAGAATAATATAGATACAGGATACAGCAATCTAAATATAAATACAGATACAGAATAATATAGATACAGGATACAGCAATCCAAATAGTGATACAGATACAGGATACAGCAATTTAAACACAGATACAGGATACAGCAATCTGAACATAAATACAAATACAGCAATCTAAACATAGATACAGGATACAGTAGTCTGAACATAAATACAGATGCTGATGCAGGATACAGTAAACTAAACATGAATAGACAGCAGTATATAAAGATTACAAGGTCATTTCGTACCATAGTTCCAAAAGGAATAGCCCGGCTAGCGTGGTAGTAGATTGCGATAAAGTTAATCAGGAACGCTGTTCCACACACCATTGATGGAACCAGGAACGCAGACATAAACATCTGCTTTAACCAGGACTTACCGCTCATCCTAGACCAAAGTAATGTTAAAAAGCCACAAAAAAATATTTAAAAATATTTGCTAATGTTTGATCAAAATTTGATGAGCAGGGGGGAGGGGGACCAAAAAAGTAAAAATAACATTAACAAGTCAGTTCATTTCTTAAAAAATAATATGGTTTGTGTTTGCTGTTCTGTAGGAAATCTCGGGTCAGGGATTTGTTAAGGAAGAAACTTGCGAATTCTTACAAGAAGTACAACGAAGATATATTCAAAGTAAATTCTTACAATTCCTACATCTTTGCAGCCCAAAGTACTCCTACCCTACCTGGTATAGATGCCCCCGAGTACTCCTACCCTACCTGGAGATGCCCCCGAGTACTCCTTCCCTACCAGGAATAGAGACTGCCCCGGAGAACTCTTACCCTACCTGGAAGGGACTGCCCCCGAGTACTCCTACCCTACCTGGAAAAGAGAATACTCCTGAGTACTTCTAACCCTACCTGGAATAGAGACAGCCCCAAAGTACTCCTACCCTACCTGGACAAGATGCCCCCAGTACTCCTTCCCTACCTGGAATAGATGCCCCCGAGTACTGCTTCCCTACCTGGAATAGAGACTGCACCCAAGTACTCCTACCCTACCTGGAAAAGAGACTGCACCCAAGAACTCCTACCCTACCTGGAATAGAGACAGCCCAAAGTACTCCTACACTACCTGGAAAAGAGACTGCACCCAAGTACTCCTACCCTAACTGGAATAGAGACAGCCCAAAGTACTCCTACACTACCTGGAATAGAGACTACACCCAAGTACTCCTACCCTACCTGGAATAGAGACTGCACACTAAGTACTCCTACCCTACCTTGAATAGAGACCGCACCCAAGTACTCCTACCCTACCTGGAAAAGAGACAGCCCAAAGTACTCCTACCCTACCTGGAATAGAAACAGCCCAAAGTACTCCTACCCTACCTGGAATAGAGACAGCCCAAAGTACTCCTACCCTACCTGGAATAGAGACAGCCCAAAGTACTCCTACCCTACCTGGAAAAGAGACAGCCCAAAGTACTCCTACCCTACCTGGAATAGAAACAGCCCAAAGTACTCCTACCCTACCTGGAATAGAGACAGCCCAAAGTACTCCTACCCTACCTGGAATAGAGACAGCCCAAAGTACTCCTACCCTACCTGGAATAGAGACAGCCCAAAGTACTCCTACTCTACCTGGAATAGAGACTGCCCCCGAAGTACCCGTTGACCGGCGCAGTAGCTGCAAAAACAAATATTGCTGTGGACAGCATACTTCCCCTCTCTACTCAGTTCAGACATTTATCATACAAATTCTTTGATCTCGTCGATTTTTAATTCACAGCTCACCCCCCCCCTCATCCCCCCTTACGCCAAATAAAAATGCAACAATTGACAATCCAATAAATTCTTATAGATAAATATCTTCCTGTATATAGTTCTCCAAGTATTGCAAAGATTACAACTAGAAGAATAACTAAACACAGCTGAGCACCTGAAACAAAAAATGTTAAAATTAACAATAACAAACAAATTATAGGCGCAGTGGTCCCCATAATAATGTGGAGCTAAGAAAATAATAAATAAAACTAAAATTAAATCTGTATCTATTATTTTAGTGTTTAACATACTGGAAAAAGTCAATGAAATAATAAAAGAAATGGATGTGGGGACACTATAATATATCATAAGACTAATAATGATGATGAAATGGTACCTCCTTTGCCCTTTATCTCTTATTGTCTGGAAAGTCGGACGAATTTTGCAAAATGTCTGGATTTGACAAATTTTAGACTTTAAAGAATATTAAGTAGTTTTGTTAACCTGAACCGATGAGAGAGGAGAATAGGAGAGGACTGGCTGCAGGACGGAATACATCACCATGAACCTTGACATAATTACAATTATTAGCAGACACCCCATCATTCAATGAAATATGGGTCGGCGGTCCTCACAATCAATCAATCAATCAATCAATCAATCAATCAATCAATCAACCAACCAACCAACCAACCAATGAACCTATTAATCAATAAACCATCCAATCTATATTCAATATACACCATTCAATGAAATAGGGGTCGGTGGTCCTCAACAACAACAATCATTCAATCATTCATTCAATCAATCAATCAATCAATCAATCAATCAATCAATGAACCGACCACTCAACGAACCTTTGAATCAATAAACCATCCAATCTATATTTTATAAATCCATTAATTTCAACCTGCTTCCATCCATATTCATCTCCTAGATCTCTCTCCATATCATCCATATCCTCCTCTTTACTGTATCTAATCAGGGAACAGATTAACTCCAGAGGCCGTAACTGTTGAATTGTTAATCCTTTTAATAACACTAATCTTAATTCTTAACACTAATCCATCAAAGTTGATGATTAGAAACCACTGCTCTCGACCAATCTATAATGTTAAGCCCGGTTAATTTTTAAGAACCGGGCCTACATCTAACCAGTTAGAGCGAGCAGTACACTGTACAGTACAGATACAGATTATAGTAGGCAAAACGGGATAGTACACCAAATAAACCAGCCCCTTCTCTGTAGGTATAAAATGCCCCAGTTTTATAAAATAAAAGTATATAGTGTCAAGTTCTAAGGTAGTGAGATTCATGAAAAAAATAAAAAGTGAGATTTGCAAATCCAAAATGAGAATAAAAAATTTTAACTTTTATTTTCAAACTGTGGTATTGGCGGTAGTGAGATTTCAAAATCCAAAATAAGAATATAAAATTTTAACTAGCTTTTAAAACCTTCAATACCATTTTCTTTTTAAAAAAACATAAAATTTTCGCTCAAAAAGAAGGCATTTTATACAAACACGCCCCTTCTAGGGAAATTCTAGTGTCTAAGTTAGAAGAGATGAATATCAGCCTTTTTCACGGATTAGCACTAAACAGTAAACAGTAAACAGTAAACATTAGCGACATTAGACTCAGAAGTATTAGTATTTTAGAGCAGTAAACTTTCAGTTTTATTGACTAGTAGTGAACACCTTAGTTCAATACAGGGGCGGATACAGGGGGGGGGGCGGCAGGACCTTCGCACCCCCCTGAGATTTCAGAATAGCTCCTCAATAGCATTTGAAGGAAACAGGAAAAATATCTATCTTAAAATAATTTGTTCCTAAATCTGGATATTTTTGTTCCGAAATAAATCTAACACCCCCCTCACTTAAATCCTGTATCCGCCCCTGGAGGTTCGGTAAACTAAACCTAGGAATTTATTTATACAAGAAATAAAAAATGCCTTAAATTTCTAGATTTTGTTAAAAGTTTTAATTTTAGAGACAAAGGGATATTGTTCTTCATTCAATAAAATATATACACACCAGTAAACATCTCAAATTCATCAAGGTTTATAAGTCGAAATTTTGATATTTCTCAAGGGGGAGGGTCAAAGTTTGACCAATTTGAAATGAATGCATTTGGGAATCCTGATTTTATTTTTAGAAATCTGAATGAAATTTTGCATTTGGACATTATTTGGGTTTGTTTAAAGTAAGAAAATTGTGGAAATTCCCCTCCCCCCGATTTTTCCATGTTTTTTTAAGCCTTTTCACCAAAAAGTCTGATTCAAATACCAGTTAGGTGTTTTAAACACCTATCTGCTAGACAAGAAACTCATTTCAGATAAATTTTCCCCCTATTTTATCATATTTTCCCCCAAATTTTTCATATTTGCCCCCTATTTTATTATATTTTCCCCCCTATTTTATCATTTTTCACGTTTTCTGGATTCATGAATTTATTTTTCGTCGAAATTAAATCTTTTGCACACAGGTCTCAATTGGTTAGTATTTTTGTAAAACAAATAAATAAGGGGGGGGGGGGAATAGTATTTGCTCCAATATTCTCTGTTTAATATCCCCCCCCCTCCCCACCCTCTACTCCATCATAGTCATACTTTTCAGTATTTACCTTGCATAATCTTTACGCAGAGTTCTCATAAGAATCATAGTCACCAATCCAACCTAAAAATACGCATTTGCAAAGATCTATTATTTTCTACAAAATATTACTTTAAAAAATTGCATGAGGAAAGAAAAAAGAGAAAATGGGGGAAGTAATAATTCGTAATGGCTGATAAAATAAGGTTGNCCATATGTTTATTTTTAAGCTTCATTGTGCATCAAAAATCAACCCACCCCCTCTTCATCTTGACCCCAAACTCTCCCAACTGTTGAAGCTTACCAGGAAGATGACCATCATGAAGCTGTTGAAGATGGAGAACCAATGAATCCTGTGCTGGAAGAAGGTAGGATCAAGGTATTTATCAAACCGGTCCTAAACATAAACAATAGAACCGGTCCTGAATATATACAATAAATCCGGTTCTAAATATTAACAAATAAACCGGTCCTAAACATAAACAAAACAACCGGTCCAGAATATAAACAATAAACCCGGTTCTAAACATTAACAAATAAACCGGTCCTTAACATAAAAAATTTACCCCAAAAAAATTTAATATTATAATTCATTATTAATTTCTAACGGAAAACTAATTAGTAGAATCTAGGTTTTCTATAAACGTGATTTGTAAATTTACGCAGCAGACATAGAAAGAAATTTTCAAAATGTTAAACTTTGCAATCGGACCTCCCACTTTACAAATGGAGGTCCACTTGAATTAACGTAATGCTTAGCATCCATTTTTTATTTACTTTTTTAAATCACAAGTTTACCTCAAACTTAACATTAGATTTCTTCCAGCTGACTTCATAGGTAAACTCGATAGAATTTCCCAACTGCAGCTTGGATCTACCCTCACTTGTCAGATTCACGTCCACTATCTAAAATTTACAGAAATCTTGATTCTAAAATCTATATATAAATTTGGCTTGTCTGTCTGTTTGTTAAGAACATCTTGACTCTAAGATCTATATATAAATTTGGCTTGTCTGTCTGTTTGTTTGTATCCAATAAACGTCAAAACGGCTGAACCGATCGGGCCCAAATTTTTTGTGTGACATCACGTGACCACAGGGAAGGTTTATGAATGATAAAAATTTAAAAAAAATGTGTTTTAAAGGTTTTTAATTTTGTAAAAAAATTTAAATTCTTGAAAATCCGCAAATTTGCTTTTTTTTTAAATCCGCAAAATAATTTTCTTCTTTGTTTTAAAATGTGAACAAAAAGAACATGTTCACAATTTAAATAGAAGATAGCCTAGAAAGAAGGGCGCGAAGCGCCTTGAATTTCTAGTAATCTAAAATTTACAGAAAATCTTGACTTTAAATAACCTAAAATTTTCAGAAAATCTTGACTCTAAAATAATCTAAATTTTACAGAAAATCGCGACTCTAAAATGATGATTAAATAGGGTATAAAAGAAAGAATTTAGCAGGTGTCTCAAATGAAAAGACAGTGTGTCATTGTCAGCAGGGTCTTAAACAAATTGCTTGGGTTGTTCCTGGCCTCATGCAATCTCACGCATATCAATCACGACTTATTTTCTCTCCCTTATTTACAAACCCAGATTTTGTCGATATTTTTAAAAATACACACCGTACAATAATTAAGCGATAAATACAGTATAACAACAGAAGCTACCAAATAAAAGGCTATTTTTGTGTTTCAACTTTATGAGCAATAAAAAAGTTTAAACAAAACAAAACCAAATTCGTAAAAATGCATTGATCAGCAGTACACTGGCCAAAGGGTATTTAGCGCAACGTAATCTATAAATGCGTGATCACCATCTATGTGATCAATGAAAAATTAGGAAAATGAAAAATTAGAAAAATGAAAAATTGGACTTCAAACGGCAAGTTTTTTCATACTTTTAATAATTTTTACCCAAAAAATTAGACTTCCCCCTAAAAATTATTTATTTTCCCAAATTCAGAGAATAAGACCTTAAAAAAGGCAAGCATATATATCTTTTTTCAAAAGCAGGGCCGGGGGCGGGAATAATTTTTTCAAGAAAACATAAACCCCTGGATCTACATCTGAAAAAAAACAAGAAAGTAGAAATCAATTTTTAGAAAATACTTTTTAAAAATTGAGAACTAGTATTGACAAGCGTTGACACCAATCTTTATTTTGTTAATTTTGAGTTTGAGTTTCTTGAGTTTCTCATCTTTTTAACTATGAGCGTAGTTTAAAGTGATCCTTTCTGCAAAGATGATTATGGCAATGTCCGATTAACAACGGTATACTTGAAGTTTTGTCTCATTAGGTATGATGTAATGTTTATAGTTTGAAAACTGATTTTTTTAACTATGAGCGTAGTTTAAAGTGATCCTTTCTGCAAACATGATTATGGCAATGTCCGATTAACAATGGTATACTTGAAGTTTTGTCTCATTAGGTATGATGTAATGTTTATAGTTTCAAAACTGATTTTTTTAAATTGTGGTTAGTGGTTACTCTGCAGAAGTGAAATTACGCATTTCTACTAAAGGTAAATATGTCTAGGGAATTAACAGAATAAAATACTTTTTCACATTATTGATCACAAAGGTTTCAAGGGTACCGTTGTAAATCTAGGATTGCTATTTTTGTATGAAGGGTCAATTGAAATTACGATTACAGTTCCTGAAATCTAAAAGTATCTAAAATGGTTTTCCCCTTAGGATAATGGCAGCAGTAAAATGACCCTCTAGTTTTTTACCTGGTTTCCATTGTATCCAATCTCAAACTTCTTATGCGTCCAGATATAGTAGGCATTCTCCTTATCCTCTATCTCTCCAACTATACCCCAGATGGGCAGATCATCTAAAGGAATCAATCAATCAATCGAGCAATCCATCAATTAATCAAATCAATCAATATTTAAAACTCTCTTGTCTCTCAAATCGTCAATTCATTTTACAATTTTGCAAATACTGATAATTAACAATATAAAAAAAAGTTTTTTAAATTTTAAGTTAAATGAGTTAACAACAAGATGAAAATACAGAAAGGTAAACTTAAGTATTTTCTTTTGAAAAAGTATTCCCCTATTATGGTTTTATTAGGTGAAGATACCAACCTAGATACATTTGATACCAGTAATGGTTCTTGACTGCGTAGAGCAAAGCTTTTAAGGATTTGTCCTCCAAGGTTATCTTGCAGTACGGAGTCTTCGAGCTATCAGACTTAAATAACAAGTATCTTAATGGAGTTCTTATTTTTTAATTTTTTTAATAATTTGTTGTTAACTATTAATCACTCAGCTTTGTAAAATGTTTTTATCCTTATATTTTCAGAGGCAATATTTTTCCTTAATTGCTTAATCAATTTAATTATGTTTTTCGCTAAGTCTTTGCCGTTTTAAGAAACAATTTGATATGGTTTGAAATAATAAAGTTAAAAACGTTGCCAGAGGAAGTACCATTAAAAATATTAATTAACAAAAATAAATTTTCTTATTTTTAATCTTGATTTTGATGGTTATAAATCGATATAACTGAAGAGAGTCAACCCAGACCGAAATATATATTTTTTAAATGCGGAACTAACGCCTTTTTTATTTTGTGAGTTTTGGAGAATTATTAACACCGAATTTTAATTTATCTGTATTCATTATCATTTCCTCACGTTCCTCTTTATTAAGTTCAAATTTTCTCTTTTTATTTAACTTACCCCGGACCCCGGGGAAGGTTTATGAATGATAAAAATTTCAAAAAATATGTTTAAGGTTTTTAATTTTGTAAAAAAAAAAATTCTTGAAAATCCGCGATTTTTTTTTTAAATCCGCAAAAATTTTCTTCTTTGTTTTTAAATGTTAACAAAAAAACCATGTTCACAATTTAAATAGAAGATGGGCGCGAAGCGCCCTCTAAGGCCAGAAAGAAGGGCGCAAAGCGCCTTGAATTTCTAGTAATATAAAATTTAAAGAACATCTTGACTCTAAGATCTATATATAAATTTGGCTTGTCTGTCTGTTTGTTTGTATCCAATAAACGTCAAAACGGCTGAACCGATCGGGCCCAAATTTTTTGTGTGACATCACGTGACCACAGGGAAGGTCCCTCCCCCTCGCATAGATCGTTAAAGAAGATTGGTTTAATTGGTGTGTTAATGCCTATATATCACGGGTGTGATAATTTCTCTTCACATCTCTTCATTGGCCTTTCAGTAGTTCCGCCAGATATCGAACTTGTTTTTGAAAATATTTTTGCGTAACTTGGCAAATGGTAAAAATGCTTTTATTGTTACTTTTCTGGCAACTTGAAAAAAAAAACAATTAAGATTTAATTCTAACCTTGAAATCTATTTCCAGACCACTGATCTCCAATTCCGTTCCTTGGAGAGCTTCGCTTAGTGTTTCATGGTAGTGATCTTAAAAATCAATCAATCAATCATCAAGCTTTAATTAATCAATCAATCAACGTTCAGTATTTTAAATAGATAATTTCATCGACACGCCATAACTTTTTTAAATCCTTTACAGTTCAGAGATTACGGTTCACGTAACACATGTGAAACATAATTATTATTAAAATTTTACTTTTTCCAAGATTTAAATTTAACATCATACAATTGGTTAATAATATAAATGAAACTTTAATTATAAGTTATATTTTTTTTTATTTATAAGGTATATTTTAGAGGAATCGCTATCTTTAAATAATTAAATCAGATATGTTTTTCCAATTAAACAAACATTTGTCGGCAATTTAAAATAGGTTGTAAACAAATGTATCTACAAAATCTCAAAATTTCTTTTAATAACTCCATGATGGTTTAGGTCCCTGGAAATATCTTTAATAGTTAAGGTCCCTGAAATTACCTATTGAAGGTGTAGGTCCCTGGAATTAAATATTGAAGGTGTAGGTCCCTGGAATTAACAATTGAAGGAGTAGGTCCCTGGATTCACCTATTGGAGGTGTAGGTCCCTGGAATTAACTATTGAAGGTTTAGGTCCCTGGAATTGCCTATTGAAGGTTTAGGTCCCTGGAATTGTCTCTTGAAGGTGTGGGTCAATGGAATGACCTGTTGAAGGTTTTGGTCCCTGGAATATCCTATTGGAGGTTTAGGTCCACGGAATTACCTTTTAAAGGTTTAGGTTCCTGGAATTACCTATTAAAGGTGAAGGTCTCTGGAATTACCAATTGAAGGTTTAGGTCCCTGGAATTTCTTATTGAAGATTTAGGCCAATAGAATTACATATTGAAGGTTTAGGTCCCTGGAATTACCTATTGAAGGTTTAGGTCCCTGGCAGAAAGGAAGAGTAAAGTATCCATATGTTTCTTGTCTGTTATGGTAAGGACCAACTGTATTCATCCACAGAACAACTTCCTCGTTATCCTGGGCAAACACTCAGTTATTTGAAGAAAACTTTATGTGATAACATCTCATTGTGATAAATGGGTGATTTCCTAGAGAACCATTTTTGGACCCCCCCCCCCCCCTAAGTCGCTCTTTAGGAAATTACCAATTGCAATTATGAGTGGCGCCCAGCGCCTTCAATGCCCAATACCTTGTAAACATGATCATGTTCATCTCCAGAAACCAGAAGAACAGGAAGAACAAATAAAACTATTCGGAACATTTTCTTGTTAAATAGATCACATGAACGTTGAACTACACTATACTAGACTATCTTAATTAAAAAGGCATTTTATAATTCCTGAAATATATTATTCAATATGAATCATCAATAAAGATTTTGTCAAATTATTGTTAAAGAAAAAAAACATTTTACGTTGATTAGGAGGGAAATCTGGAAGAAAAACTATTTACGTGTCGGTAAAATTATTGAACTGAATCTCAACGCGGCATTCTTGAATCAACCTGGATCGTCTTTGATTTATCTAACAAACAAAAATAATTTTTAATTATATTATAAAATATAAATATTAAGGCCTCATAATGCTTTTGCTAAATTATTATAGTCAATGGCTTACACAATGGGGGCGATTAAAAACATATTATAAGCATTAATTTTAAAACATGTCTAACTCTAAACAAAAAAATTTCAGAATACCCCGTACGCGCCCTTACTTCTATTTAACCAGGGGCGTATACAGGGGGGGGGGCAAGGGGAAATGCTCCACCCAAGAATTGTGAAGGAGGCGGTAGGGGGGCATGTGAGGAGGGAGGGATTCCAAAACAAGTTGAAGTGAAATTGAAACCCTTGAGGACCTTGAGGAGATGAGTTCTTGGAACATTTTCTACAATACAATATTAGTTATATATATATATATACAAACAATTAGTTGACTATACAGACAATTAGTTGATTGTACAGACAATTAGTTTACTATACAGACAATTAGTTAATTATACAGACAATAAGTGGATTATACAGACAATTAGTTGATTATACTGACAATTAGTTAATTATACAGACACTTAGTTGATTATACAGACAATTAGGTGATAATACAGACAATTAGTTGATTATACAGACACTTAGTTGATTATACAGACAATATGTTGATTATACAGACAATTAAATGATTATACAGACACTTAGTTGATTATACAGACAATTAGGTGATTATACAGACAATTATTTGATTATACAGACACTTAGTTGATTATACAGACAATTAGTTGATTATACAGACATTTAGTTGATTATACAGACAATTAGTTGATTATACAGACAATTAGGTGATTATACAGACAATTAGTTGATTATACAGACAATTAGTTGATTATACAGACAATTAGGTGATTATACAGACAATTAGTTGATTATACAGACAATTAGTTGAATATACGGACAATTAGTTGATTATACAGACATTTAGTTGATTATACAGACAATTAGTTGATTATACAGACAATTAGTTGATTATACAGACAATTAGTTGATTATACAGACACTTAGTTGATTATACAGACACTTAGTTGATTATATGGACAATTAGTTGATTATACAGACACTTAGATGATTATACAGACAATTAGTTGATTATACAGACAATTAGTTGATTATACAGACAATTAGGTGATTTTACAGACAATTAGTTGATTATATAGACAAATAGTTAATTACACAGAGAATTAGTTGATTATACAGACAATTAGTTGATAATACAGACAATTATTTGATTATACAGACAATTAGGTGATTATACAGAGAATTAGTTGATTATACAGACATTTAGTTGATTATACAGGCCATTAGGTTACTATACAGACAATTAGTTGATTATACAAACAATTTGTTGATTATACAGACACTTTATAGTTGATTATACAGACATTTAGTTGATTCTACAGACATTTAGTTGATTAAAAAGACCATTAGGTGATTATACAGACAATTAGTTGATTATACAGACAATTAGTTGATTATACAGACAATTAGTTGATTATACAGACACTTAGTTGATTATACAGACAATTAGTTGATTATACAGACATTTAGTTGATTATACAGACAATTAGTTGATTATACAGACATTTAGTTGATTATACAGACCATTAGGTGATTATACAGACAATTAGTTGATTTTACAGACAATTAGTTGATTATACAGACAATTTCTTGATTATACAAACAATTAGTTAATTATACAGACAATTAGTTGATTATACAGACAATTAGTTGATTATACAGACCATTAGGTGATTATACAGACAATTAGTTGATTATACAGACAATTAGTTGATTATACAGAAAATTATTTGATTATACAGACATTTAGTTGATTATACAGACAATTAGTTGATTATACAAACATTTAGTTGATTATACAGACCATTAGGTGATTATACAGACACCTAGTTGATTATAGAGACATTTAATTGATTATACAGACCATTAGGTGATTATATAGACCATTAGGTGATTATACAGACAATTAGTTGATTATACAGACAATTAGTTAATTATACAGACAATTATTTGATTATAGAGACAATTAGTTGAATATACAAACAATTAGGTGATTATACAGACACTTAGTTGATTATACAGAAAATTAGATGATTATAAAGACAATTAGTTGATTATACAGACAATTAGTTGATTATACAGACAATGAGTTGATTATACAGACAATTAGTTGATTATACAGACAATCAGTTGATTATACAGACAATTAGTTGATTTTACAGACAATTAGTTGATTATATAGACAAATAGTTGATTATACAGACATTTATTTGATTATACAGACAATTAGTTGAGTTAAAGACAAATATTGGTTATTTGGACAATTAGTTGACTATACAGACAATTAAATGAACATACAGACAATTAGTTGATTATGCAGACAATTAGTTGATTATACAGACAATTAGTTGATTATACAGACAATTATTTGATATACAGACACTTAGTTGATTATACAGACATTTAGTTGATTATACAGACCATTAGGTGATTATACAGAAAATTAGTTGATTATACAGACAATTAGTTGATTATACAGACACTTAGTTGATTATACAGACATTTAGTTGATTATACAGACAATTAGTTGACTATACAGACAATTAAATGAACATACAGACAATTAGTTGATTATGCAGACAATTAGTTGATTATACAGACAATATAGTTGATTAAACAGGCATTAGTTGATATACGGAAAATTAGTTGATTATACAGACAATTTTAGTTGATTATACAGACATTAGTTGAGTATACAGGCAATATATTGATTATACAGACAATTAGTTGATTTAAGGACAAATATTGATTATATAGACAATTAGTTGATTATACAGACATTTATTGATTATACAGACAATTAGTTGATTATACAGACAATTAGTTGATTATACAGAAAATTAGTTGATTATACAGACAACTAGTTAATTATACAGACAATTAGTTGATTATACATACAATATTAGTTGATTATCCATACATTAGTTGATATGCGGACAATTAGTTGATTATACAGACAGTTATAGTTGATTTAAAGACAAATATTGTTCATTTAGACAATTAGTTGACTACACAGACAATTAAATGATCAAACAGACAATTAGTTGATTATACAGACAATTTTAGTTGATTATACAGACAATTAGATGATTATACAGACAATTAGTTGATTATACAGACAATTTTAGTTGATTATACAGACATGAGATGACAAATAGATATGTAGTTGATAAGTCCATGAAAATTATCAAATCAACTAAATTAAAAAAAAATTTATTTATGACGGAATTGGTCGAAGACAGAATTACTAGTTTATTTTTAATAATATCAAGTTTCTTTCTTGATTCTTAATGTAGCACTTGTCTTTCATAAACAACAATCATGGAAACACAGATTTACCTAGCAATTAAATTCTCCCTGTAAAAGTCATTTACTTAAATTTTGAATTTTTAAACCAAGCCTAAACCATTTCCATTGTTCTACCGAGTTCCCCAATCAAAATGTGAGGCAAATCGGTCAAGGGGTTGAATTGAGTTATGAATAGACATGCTCTGTTTTCAAATTTTATTGACTTTTTACTTATTTTGTATTTTTAAATAAGAAAATTTCTAAATTTAGCGGGATACTTAAACTTCTGAGCTTTTTCATATATTTTAATGTCGTCTTTTAAGTCCCATGTTTTTCGACTAGCCTGTCCGTGGTCCATTTAAAATACAATATGCGTACTTTACTGATTTATATCCTGCTCGTGTGACGCATCCTTGTCTCAGGGAATGCACGAATATTGAGTGTGACGCAGTGATTCTACACTTTAAATGTCTTTGTTTTTCAGGGGCGTTGATTTACGCACATGATGGTTTACAGTGGTCGCCCAGAAAATGAACAGCTGAAACAAAAGTGGTGAAAGAGACTGTAAGCTAATACCAATTGAGTATTGACACTCCATGCAAAGATGGTTATGCCCGATTCACATTAGAACCCTTAAATCCATTAACTGATCAATGATTTAACAGATATTGTCGTTTTTCTAGGTTTAAAAGTGTTTAATTCTGATAATTTTTATATGTTTTCCTGCAGTAGAAAATGCGCAAGTCACTTTTGTAGAGAAACCACAATTAAAAATGATCTGAATCATATTAAAATTTATTTCTATACTTGGCTTCACCAACCCTAACCATAAAAAGCTTTTATAAAATACTTAGCTGAAGTGCCCGGCATTGCCCGGTAAAATTCTTTTAAATTGAAAAAAAAATCAAAAATAATTTTCATGTTGAAAAAATAAAATCTTTTTTTTAGACTATGTATGTACTCATACATGAGCGAAGAGCTTTATTATATAGATTAGGATAGAAAACTTCATAAAACCCTAAAATTAGAAAACACCTAGATCAGTTTCCTTATAGGTCGGATGAACGGGTACCCATTAGACTAGACATTTATTTTTTACCAATGCATAGTTTTCACCATTCATAATTTTTACCATTGGTCCAAACTCACCAAAGTCTGATTAAGTATTTCCAAAACTTTAATAAACCTCATTGTACCTTTCGTAAATAAAATGCCCCTGAGTATTTGATCTAAAAAACATACACAAATTATGAAAATGTTTAAGTGCCTGTAAAGTTGTAAACGTCATTTCAAGTGATCCTTCACTTAAAGAGTGGCATATCTGATTCAAAATGATACCTTTAAAAGCATTGTCTGATTTAAATCAGATCCATGCAAGGTTATAATGCAAGGAAAGTTAATTGCAGTTGCGTATACTCTGTGTACATATTGAAACCAGTTCTCTTTGAGCGGAATTTATAGATGCATCAGTGTTCGTTCAGTATCCGAGGAGGTTAAAGAGACATTACACTGCAGTACAAAAGATGCGTACACCTCTGAAATAACTTTCCTTGCCTTATATGACCTTGGATCCATGTTAATAGTTTTAAGAACAGATTATTATTTTAGATTTTTGTTTCTCTACAAAACTGGATTAGCAGGTAAATAATATTGGATTTATCAGTCGTATTTCGACCAAGAAAAACCACATATCTTCCACATTCTTCTTCAGATAAAGGTTTCAATGGTGATTCGGGCGGTCTGGGTTGTTGTCTCGTGAATCAGGCGGCCTGGGTTGTTGTCTCGTGAATCGGGCGATCTGGGTTGTTGTCCAAGATGGGACTTCTTACAGATCTCATCTCGTATATTTTCATATACCCTTCTTTAAATGGAGGGTCACTTAGAATTACAAAAACAATATCTTTAACAAATATTGAATGGTTGTGTATACTTTATTCAGTATTCACAGTGTAAACTAAATGTATAGGAAGAGAAGTGCTTCAATATTTGTTTTCCATGGATTAAAAATAGGAGGGAGGGATCCTCTATTTATCCATGGACTAAAGATAGGAGGAATTAGTCATGTGTTTAATCACCGACTAATAATGGGAGGGTTTGATTCTGTGTTATTCATGGGCTAAGGAGGATTGTTTCTATGTTTATCCATGGACTTAAGATACGAGGGATTGATCATGTGGGTATCCATGGGCTAAAAATAAATGGGATTGATCCTGTGGGTATCCATGGACTAAAGATAGGTAGGATTTATACTGTGTTATTCATGGGCTCAGGATAAGGGGGATCGCTTCTCTGCTTACCTATGGACTAAAAGTAAGAGGGATTGATCCTGTGCTTACCTATATGGACTATAAATAGGAGGAAATAATCCTGTGTTTATCCAGGGACTGAAAATAGGTGGGGGCGATCCTGTGCTTACCCATGTGGACTAGGTCTAGAAATAAGAGGAAATAGTCCTGTGTTTATTCATGGACTAAAGATAGGAGGGATTGATCTTGTGTATATATATTTACTAAAAATAGGATGGATGGATCCTGTTTGTTTATCCATGGTCTGAAGATATGAGGGATTGATCCTATGTTTAAACATGGATAGTGGGATCGATTCTGTATGTTTGTTTGGTGGGTTTATAAAAGGAATAAAGATAGAAGGGATTATTCCTGTGGGTATCCATGGACTAAATATAGGTGGATTGATCCTGTCTTTATAAATAGACTAAAGATAGTGGTGGGATTGATCCTGTATGTAAACAAGGACTAAAAATAGAAGGAATTAATTCTGTGTTTATCCATGGACTAAAGATAGAAGGGATTGATCCGGTGATTATTATTTGACTAAAGATAGGAGTAAATGATCCTGTGTTTATCCATGGACTAAAAATAGGAAGGAGTGTTCCTGTTCCTGTTCCATGATTAAGCCAAAAATAATATGATTACCAAGTCCATAATTAAAGGCAGGAAGAATATGTTTCCTACGTCCATGATTAACCACTGAGAGAAGATGTTTCCTACGACCATGATTATCCACAGGGAGAATATGTTTCCTAAGTCCATGATTAACCAAGATGTTTCCTACGTCCATGATTACATGATTAACCACAGGAAGAATATGTTTCCTAAGTCCATGATTAACCACAGGAAGAATATGTTTCATAAGTCCATGATTAACCACAGGAAGATGTTTCATAAGTCCATGATTAACAACAGAAAGAAGATGTTTCCTAAGTCCATGATTAACCACAGGAAGAAGATGTTTCCTACGTACATGATAAACCCATAGAGAACAGAATATATAGAGAGGAATTTACTAGAAAAAAGTGTAAAACGGCCATTTTGTTGTACTGTTTCCATACTGCAGGTGTACTTCACATATTTGTGCTATATAACCTTTTGGGCCCTGGACCATCATTTTATACAAAAATTTTCTTGAAAATTATTTGATTTTCTGTAAGTCAATTCTCTGATAGCCTGTCATGCACACGTGGATAAAAATCAATCTAAAATTTTTTTTCATTAAAAAACATATTCCTATAATTGTAGCCTGCAGGTAATCAAAGAGGGAAACCCAATATTTTAGAAATATTCAAGATATTAACATATGGTTCACCTTTTTTTACCAAAATTGAGGATGGAGATAAACTTAATATTTTAAATTCATTTTACACAGTTGGACCCATAAAACTCTGGAAGAGAAGGTCGAAATTTAAATATGTTTCATGTTTGATGGGTTAGTTAAACTTGTAGCTTGAGTCTAAACACAGTTAAACAAACTGTTATACTTTGTGTACCCATAAAGATCAACGACTATTTAATTTACAAGATTCTGGTGCTCCCTAAAATGTGAAGGACCATTTATAAAAAAAACACTGCAGACACTGTGTAACTGAAGAGTTTGAAGGAAATTTTAGAGACAACTGACAGTACAGAATTAATTTAATCTTTCTCTTTACATCAATCTCCGTATTCAAATCACTGAATGAATCATTATAGCAGGTAACATATTTAGGCCTAAATCAGATTATCAAAATTCTTGCGAATATTATGCTGAAAGAGTTTCAGGTCTTCATTAAAATATCATCCTTTTGTGGGTAACCCTGTAATGTAGAATAATTGCATATTAAAAAACAAGTAGAAAACAAAGCTTTATTAACTTTAATTTAACATTTTATTTTACAGAAAACACTTTACTGGTTATTTTGTAAAATAAGTTTCGAGAGCTTTGAACGTAATCTGTTTTTTTTTATATTTTCATTTAGTAATTTTGCATGATGTTTCATACGAATACACGTATAACAGGATATCACTTGCTTCTCTGTCAGCATTGTGTTTTCTCTTTTTAACTCTTCAGCACTTTTTGAATTGACAGAACTATTTTGCTCAATATAGTTATGGTCTGGTAAGTTTTTACTTACAACAGGCAAAGGAACGGCAATCTCGAAAATAAGCTTTCTACCAGAGAAACACTTGCTCTCGAAATGTAAACTGCAAATATAGGTGTCCTTTACATCTTTCCATTTTAACCTTTTCTCCCTTGTCCAAAGGTCCTTGAATCCGTCTGGTACACTGAAATATTAGAATTTTCACAGGAAGAATATGTTTCATAAGTCCCTGATTTTAGCCAGGAAGAATATGTTTAAAGTATTATTTAATCAAACAGTTAGCGCCTGTATAAACAAACATGATTTAATTTATGTACATTGTACATTCCGTAGGACATAATAATATTCTATATCATATTATGACTATTATATACATCTGAACAGTGTACAACGTACAACGTACAACGTACAACGTACATGTAATGCTACAGAAGCAGAACTTGGAGGAGGGGTGGAAAGGTGGCGAGCTGAAAGGAATTGAGTCTTTTCCACAAAATCTGATTTTCTTATCCCTATATCTTTGCATTACAATGTTCGTATATAACCTTAGATATGGTGACTATGAATTCTGATAGATAAACTCATCTAAGACATAATTCCTTGGAAGAAAATCTGTTACCAACCTGATAACCTCTAACCCACGATGTTTAATTAGAAATCATAAATTATAAAAAATGAATAGATTTTCAATTTTTATATTTTATTCAGTTTTAACTATTCACTTATCACTCTGTTTTATTCTTAAAACTACTGGAAGACTTCATATATAATACTCACTATCATGGCACATGTAAAAATCACAAAAATATTTATGAAAATCCGTCAAACAGTCCGTACCACAACAACAGAATCTATTGCCTAAAGTAACTTATTTGTTAAAACTGGTTTCAAATTATAATTTTATAATTCCCATATCTTTGCAAACTGACGGTGTAAACCTTTGATGTTTCAAACTATGACTTCTTGATTTCAAAGTTTAAAAAAGGTGCAAGGATATCAGGTTGCAAAGATATGAGGAGTTAACTTGCTTTCGAAAATTTTAGCTTTAAAAAGACAGTTTTAGTCCGACAATTGACGTTGTCTAACAATTTTAAAAAGTTTGATTTTCTCAAAAATGTTGATTCTGGTCCGACGTTTGGTCCGGAAATTCCAAGATCTAAGACTGTGTTAGAGCTAGGTTGACAAAATTACTGGAATGTTACGAGCATCTAAACTGGGTGTATAAGTTGCACAATGTACACACAATTTATAACAAATACAAATATAGATATCTACAAGATGATTTTTGTACTGAAAATGCCACTTTAAAAATGATTTGATTAACTGAGGGATATATTTTTAATAAACATTTTCTTTTTTAATTTCAATATGGGGGGTAAGACGCTATTTTTTTAACAGCAAAATAGTGATTATTACTCTTTAACTATATTTATATCTTAAATAGGAGAAAGAAAATTGAGTCTGTGCCCCAAACTCAAATTTCTTATCCCTATATCTTAGTAACCTGATGAAGTAAACCTATGATATATTAAACTTAAATTATTTTATATCTAACTCAATTCATATAGTTTGACATATTTAATGTCTACGACATTGGGTTGCAAAGATATATATATATATATATTTGGGAAGGAGGGGGGGGGGAAGGTGAGTTACAATTTACAATTTTAAACATTTGTCAACAAATAAAATGGTCAGAAAAAACTGGACATTGAAGAATGGATATAGTTGTGTTTGGCACTTATGCGTTAAAGTTATATTTAGATATGAGATAAATAAGCTTCAATGTAACAAAAAACGGCCACAGGCCATACTCTCGTCCGGCCTTTGGCCGATTTTCAGGTTTGAGGTTAAGAAATAAGCTACTGTGTTGAAATGCATGGTAAAAGGTGTCCTTGAAAGCTCTCAAAAAGGTTCGAAATTTTCTCTTTCAGTCCTTTAAAGTTCCTAGGTATTTCAGACCCTAAAGGGGTTACTTTAAAGTACTGGGAGGTCCCTAGGACCCCTTCAAATTCGAGGCTAGCATTTCGAGGATGAATATCTACTTTGATTATTCATATTAAGGAAAGGAGCTAGGAGGGAGAAGGAAGGAGGAAGGTGAAGAGGTGTGGTGGACAGATTCAATACAGTATCCTCAGGAGTTAAGGGGCGAAGGGGGGAGCTGTAGGAGCGGGATGAAGTGTTTAGAGGAGAGCCAGGAGTGTTGGATGGACTGAAGGAGGTTGGTTTTATATCTACAGGTTTCACGGGTTTCTTATCTTCTGTCTCTGCTCCTTGGTTCTCGTAGTACAGGGAGATTATAGAATGCTTCTTTGTAAAAGCCCACCACCATCTGAAAGAATTTTAAATAAAAATTTCCTTTTTTCCTGAAAAAGGTTTAACCCATACAGTTTGTATAACTATTTTACCTATTTTTAATAGGTTACAAATAAAAAGTATGCATTTAGAAAAAGATGTACGTGAGGTTTTTACACTTCAAAATGCAACAAAAGAATAAAAACTATAATTAGCCTTCGATTCGTGTGCGTATATATGTTTGCTATTTTGCGTAGATGCGTATTTAATTGAAGGGTGTAAAACCATCGTAAAATGCCATATTAGCAACAGTAACAAAATGAAAACAACTTTAAACTTTGCTTTAACTTTGTATTTTAACAACTTTCTGTATTTGTTGTGCAGTGTCAAATTAAAGATCGGCCTTTTCTCTCTTTTTGGTCGTTTTCCGCAAAAAAAATCTTCCAACCCTTTTTACATTAAGAAAATATTAATATTTGAGGAAAAGTTTAAATGAAATATATAAAATGTTTGGAAATAGGTTTTTTAGATTCTAAAATTCTTTTAAAAAGGCTAAAAATATTTTTCTTTAAAAGGATAAAAAAGATAAACATTTTAAAGCCCAACAAATCTTTTTTGCGTCCACTTTATACTTCTTTATACCCTTTTATACTTCTTTATAATCCTAATTATACTCCTTTATACTCCTTTATACTCCTTTATAATCCTTTATAATCCTTTATACTCCTTTATACTACTTTATACTCCTTTATAGTTATACTCCTTTATAGTTATACTCCTTTATACTCCATACTCCTTTATACTCCTTTATACTTCTTTATACTCCTTTCTACCTCTCTTTACCCCTTAATACTCCTTTATACCCCTTTTTACTCCTTTATACTCCTTTATACTCCTTTATACTCCTTTATACTCCTTTATACTCCTTTATACTCCTTTATACTCCTATATACTCCTCTATACTCCTTTATATTCCTTTAAACTTCTTTATACTCCTTTATACTCCTTTATACTCCTTTATACTCCTGGATGCGCTCTAATGTAGATAAAGACGACCCTTATAGCAATGGTACTTTTAATCCTCATATGACGTCAGTGCTTATTTTAAAGAATAATATATTTTGCGACTCCCAAAATATAAACGAACTCAAAAATTGAAAACTTGAATTAGAATTCCATTTTTTAGCTTTAAACTTGTTAGCACAATCAATGCTTGTTGAATGTGATGATTGTTAGTTAAGAATCAGTGACGTCATATGAGGATTTAGTGTCCCTTGCAATAAATACGACATTTACCTGAACCCTTGTCTCATGGACATATTAAAACCTCTGTCCCCGGCCTCCCCCTTCAACCTCTGGATAAAGGAGATGATATCTCTCAAGGATTTACTGGTCCGCCTGCAGTACACAACAACACGTCAACAACTGCAGTACACTAAGGGGGGGGGCAGGAAACCTTTGTATCTTGTTTAAAAATTCAATGTACTGCAGTTTCAGGGAAAATTATAAACAATAGTCGACCTATGCAATACAGAGCTTGTTTACATTCCTCCCAAATAGATTATCAAGTACTAGAATCTATTTGATTCCGCCCAGAAACTGCAGTACACTTTGAATGTAAACAAAAATAGGGTTTCTTGTATATATTCTCCACGGGCACAAATCTTGTAAAAAGTTCTTGGAACATTAATCCAACAGTATGAAAGTAAAATTCTTGACAATGTTGACATAAATTTATCTAAATTCAACTCGAGATTAAATTCAGTTTTGAAGATAAATATCTCCGAGTTAAGTTCGTTAAAAAGCCTGAGATGAGAGCTAGCCCTGGAGCCGGCCTGGAATCTTGAAAAATATAATTAAACAATTCCGGAGGAACCATCAAATAGAACCATACGGATAGTGGCTGTTGACAAAACAAAACGTCAATTATAAAATATTTAGAATTTCAGGATAAATAACATCCCTCTTACCAGTCCTACAACTCCCTTCTCCAAACAATACCNGGTCCACCCAAATCATTCATGGCAAGCCTACTGGACCATTTTTATAAAGGCGTAACATGGTTACGCCGAAATGAATAACAATGACATGCTTTATTCAAATCAGAAGTTTAACAAGTTTTGAGAATTGGTAGGATAGAGAGAATTGGGAGAACTAGAAGAACTATGAGAACTAGGAGCACTAGAACTAGGAGAACTAGGGGAATTGGGAGAACTAGGAGAAGTAGGAGAACTAGGAGAACTAGGAGAACTAGGAAAACTAGGAGAACTAGGAGAACTAGGAGAACTAGGAGAGCTAGAAGAACTAGGAGAACTAGGAGAACTAGGAAAACTAGGAAAACTAGGAGAACTAGGAGAACTAGGAGAACTAAGAAAAAAAAAACTATAGGTTTGGACTTGGAGTAACAATTTTACCATCAAAGTATGTAGCTTTTTCTTTCCCTAAACTTTGCTTTTGATTTATATTGTGTTGTTATTGTTTCCTATTGTACGGCATATTAGATACTTCACAACAGTACTCCAGTACAGCCATATCTTCAAGCTCACTCAAGCCGAGATCATCAAGCACCTAAATAACAAGTTAGTCAAAACTTTGTCGCTAAAACAAACTGTTGAGATATTTTCAAATGACCACCTATTTATTCGAGTCGCATACCCGATACACATCGGTACTCTGATCAAGGATAAATAAGATATCCTTGTTTTTCTAGCTGAAAAATGAATATTTTCACTTGTGGTTTCTCTATCAAATGTCTGGCGGATCGAAAAGGGGCATGCAGTTATATGAACCATGAAAATTCGAGGTTTAATTTTTTTAGGTCTAATTGAAAAGTTGGACTAGGGTCATGTTTCACACTCCCCTATCTCAATTTTTAGGGACAAAATTATAAGGAGGGGGGGGGGGGACCTCCCTTCTATATTAGACCAAAATAACTCAATCGCGATAGGGTTCAATTGTCATGTTTATTGGAACACACTGTATAGGTATTTAAGTTTACCGAAAAAATCGGTCTTAATTTTTGTGAAAAATTTATTATATTAAAGGACGTTTATACTTCATGTTTGAAGTAATATGTGTGACAGGCAGGTTTCAGTAGATCTAAAATTCTTTGTAAAAATCCCTCCAAAAGGAATTAATTTCTATCTTAAACTGAATGACGAGAATGACGAGAATCTATTCTAAAGTTCATTTAGGAACCTTTATAGGCAGTCTTTAAAGTGTCAAACATCTGAATTAATTAGGATAAAATTAATGCAGTTTCAAGTTCTGACAAGGAACTAGGATATACGAATAGGTCAGGAACTTAAAGGAAATGTTCGCGAAAAAATGAAGGGGAATAGGCTTTCGGCGAAAAATAAGCATTTTTGATTGCCTCTAATCTTACTTCTATCTGTTGCGTCTATAAGGAGAAAATGGTTAAAAACGACTTATACCAAAGAACGTGGCGTCCATACAAATTCAGAAAGATGCAAAATTCAACTCGGATTGTAAACAAATCAATTTAATTCCAAACAAATCAAATCTAGTTCCTTGTTACTTGTTTCTTGTTCCTTGTTTTTAGTTCATTGTTCCTTGTTTCTAGTTCCTTGTTCCTTCTTTCTATTTCGCGAAAAATGAAAGGGGGAATACGTTCTTCGGTATTAGTAGTTATTAACAATTTTCTCCTTATAGATGCAACAGATAGATGTAAGAGTAGTAGCAATCAAAAGCGCTTCTTTTTCGCCGTAAGCCTATACCCCCTTTCATTTTTCGCGAACAATACCTTTAACAAGCACAAGGAAATAGAAACAAGGAACAAGGAACTAGAAACAAGGAACTAGAAACAAGGAACTATAGAAACAAGGAATTAGAAATTAGAAACAAGGAACTAGAAACAAGGAACAAGGAACTAGAAACAAGGAACTAGAAACAAGGAACTTTTACCAAGAACAAGGTACTAGAAACAAGAAACTTAAAGCAAGGAACTATAAAAACAAGGAACTAGAAACTAGAAACAAGGAACTAAAACAAGGTACTAGAAACAAGGAACTAGAAACAAGGAACTAGAAACAAGGAACTAGAAACGAGGAACTAGAAACAAGGAACTGGAAACAAGGAACTTTTACTAAGAACAAGGTACTAGAAACAAGAAACTTAAAACAAGGAACAATAAAAACAAGGAACTAGAAACTAGAAACAAGGAACTAGAAACAAAGAACAAGGAACTAGGAAATAGAAACAAGGAACTGGAAACAAGGAACTAGAAACAAAGAACAAGGAACTAGAAACAACGAACTAGGAACTAGAAACAACGAACTAGAAACAAGGAACAAGGAACAAGGAACAAGAAACTATAAACATGGAACTATTACTAAAAACAAGGTACTAGAAACAAGGAACTAGAAACAAGAAACTAGAAACAAGGAACTAGAAACAAAGAACTAGAAATTAGAAACAAGGAACTAGAAACAAGGAACAAGGAACTAGAAACAAGGAACTGTAAACAAGGAACAAGGAACTAGAAACAAGGAACTTTTACTAAGAACAAGGTACTAGAAACAAGAAACTTAAAACAAGGAACTATAAAAACAAGGAACTAGAAACTATAAACAAGGTACTAGAAAAAAGGAACTAGAAACAAGGAACTAGAAACAAGGAACTAGAAACAAGAAACTAGAAACACAAGGAACTAGAAACAAGGAATTAGAAACAAGGATCTGGAAACACGGAATTAGAAACAAAGAACAAGGAACTAAGGAACTAGAAACAAGGAACTAGAAACAAGGAACTAGAAACAAGAAACTAGAAACAAGGAACTAGAAACAAGGAATTAGAAACAAGGATCTGGAAACACGGAATTAGAAACAAAGAACAAGGAACTAGGAACTAGAAACAAGGAACTGGAAACAAGGAACTAGAAACAATGAACAAGGAACTAAAAACAATGAACTAGAAACTAGAAACAAGGAACAAGGAACTAGAAACAAGGAACTAGAAACAAGGAACCAGGAACAAGGATAAAGGAACAAGAAACTAGAAACAAGGCACTAAAAACAAGGAACTAGAAACAATGAAAAAGGAACTATAAATAAGAAAATAGAAACAAGGAACAAGGAACTATAAATTAGAAAAAAGGAACTAGAAAAAAAGAAACTATAGTGCAAGGCGAAAAAGAAAAAGTTTTTATTTTTATTTTTTATTACATATTCCTTGTCTATTAAGTGTTTAGTTATCCATGAAAGGAAGGATTTTATTATTTTCATATTCTTAAATAATTTCCTTGAATGTAAATGTTACTAAGTGCAGTTCTATGCATTTTACAAATATAATCATCAAAATATATCCAGATATAAAGATGGAGCTGCGAAATACACAAGGGCCTTATTATACGTATCCATAATTTTACATTCATCTTAAATTCTTCAAAAAAAGGGTTATTATACAGGGTGATCCATTAAACCTAAGATTTAAGATTTTGAAAATTTTAACTTTACGATTCTGCCTTTCTAAAATGTTGTTTTGCTTGCCGAGAATACTTCATTTATCTTATATATATAAAGTAGTAATCTTTGTTTGTCTGACTGTTTGTTTGTCCGATCATAACTTGGAAACCCCAGGACCAATGTGCCTCAAATTTTTATTGAGGAACTCGGGAGACCCACGGCATGTTCCTAGCTTGGTTTTAAGATTCTAAGCTGAGTGGGTCGACTTTAATAGCGAAAATTACGTTTTCCGGAAAAATCGTTCAAGTGCGGGTAAATGGCGGGAGTAATTTTTAGTAAACTTGGCAGCGCTGGGTTTCCAAACTAGTAAATTTATAAAGCATCGAAATTTTCGAAGCTTCAAAAATAATCGGTGGCCGAATTTAAAGAATTTGAGCGGCGGTTTAAATTTAAGCCACGGTTTAAATATGGTTGGTTTTACTTAAAATTGTATCAAATGTTTCAAGATTTAAGCCGGCGCTTAATTTAAACCGGGTTTTGGCGGATTTAAACCGCGGCTCAAATTCTTTAAATTCCATCTCAGGTTGCTATTTTTATTTTTTGGGACATCTTTAATCTGTTGTAGACTGAAATGTAATGGGGGAAAAGCGGAATTCAACCTTTAGCAAATTGACCTTTTTTCAAGTTAACAGTCTTCTCAGATTCAGATTTACCATGTCAAAATATAAACTGCATTTGAGAGTATACAATATGAATTCTTTCAAATGCTCGTATATGGATTTGATTGGATTTGAAATGCAGTTTTAGAAATGTTCCGATTTGTTTAAAGGAATTGTAAGCGTAGATTCAAGTGATCCTCCATGCACAGATGACAATGTCCGATTTACAACTGTACCCTTAAAAGCTTTTTCTAATCACATATGAATTAGATATCAATGTTTTTTTTCTTTAAACTGTTTATTTTCATTTGCGGTATCATTGCGAACGTGACTTGCGCATTTCTTGCTAAAGAGAAACTCACAGAAATAAACACTTTTCCGAGTCAGAAAAACGACGGTATCTTCCACATCTTTTATCAGATTAAGGTTTCAAGGGTTCAGTTGTAAATCGGGCATTGCCATCTTTTTATGCTGGGTCACTTGAGATTACGCTTACAGGTTTCTTTAAAGAGATGGTTTATTCTCTCCATCGTAGAATATCAAAGTACATAAATTATTAAAACTTTTATATTGCGAGACAACATAAATCATTAAAACTTTTATATTTGGAGACAACATTTTTTAAATACTGACTGTCCATAATTCTTCTTTGGAGGGATACCATGTGTGAGGTCCGATTAAAAACAAAACATTGGTTCAGCTGGTTTGACAATTGTTGAAACCCAAAAATCAACAAACTGATAGACAATACTATGCGTATTACGAAGAACTATAAACATAAAGTTGTACTGAATGTTTTTTGACATGTCTGTCATGTTTATTTGTATGTCCGATCATAACTCAAGAACCTCTTGATCATTTCGTCTAAAATTTTTATTTGGGAGCTTGGTAGAAGAACGGGAATGTTCTTAGCTTGGTTGCAAAATTCAAAATTGAGTGGGTGTTCTTCTATACTTTGTTTGTCTGTTTGTCTCTTTTTTGTTTGTTTGTAACCGATAAACTTCAAAACGACTGAACCGATCGGGCCCAAATTTGTTGTGGGACCTCACTTGAACAAAGAGAAGGTTTCTGGATGGCAAGAGTGGAACAAATTTGCTTTAAAAGTTATATATTTTTCAAAATCTATGCCAAAAAATCGATAAAAGTTAAAATCGAAGGTGAGCACGAAGCGCACCGGAAGCCTAATATACATATATATATATATATATATATATATATATTTACGTAGATAAATGCATATTTAAATATACGTTAAGTAAATGGTTTCACAAACAGTCTAATCTTATAGTTTTAATGCAAATATGCAAATCATAAAAGAAATGAGGAAAAATCTGTCCAAAATATTAATCTATAAATATCCCCCCATTTCGAACAGCATAATTTTGACCTTTGTTGAAAGTGTCAACTTCAAGTGTTTAAATCAATTGTTTTATTTATCCATAGATCAATAACAATACAGATAGGACACAAGATGTCGTCTTTTCAAGATTTAGGGGTTTTTCTTTTACAATAACCCCGAGGCAGAAGCCCAAAGGAGTTAAACGCATGCCGCGTTGAATTACAAGACAGACAGAGAGCATGCGCGTAACTCCTTTGGGCTTCTGCCTCAGGTTTATTGGAAAAAATCCTGAGGCCTAAATCTTGAAAAGACGACATCTAATGTTCTATCTATATTGTTATTAATCTATGCATTAATAAATTAGCCCATGCATTTACCCTTAAAGGTTAAAAACTAAAAGTTACGTTACAAAGTTAAAGGACATCTCTGGAAGTCTTGTAATGGTTATTGATTCTGTATAATAGTGGTGAAAAGTGATTAATTTTTTAAATTTATTACATTTATTACATTCCAAATTGAGATAATGATTATGAATTATAAACTGCATACTAAGTGTGACTGAGAAATTTGTTGATAATTCCTTTAAGACTAACCTGCATTCTTTTAGACTTTCCAAGAATATTATCGTAGAGTGTCCCTTTAGGAATACCATATTTACAGCTCGCCTTAACAAAACAGGATTTCTTTTTTTTAGAAAAGGTTTCAAACTTTAACCTTTAACGTACCCTCCCTTCTTTTCACCCCCCCCCCCCTTCCAGGCCTCCAGGAGTATCGTCTCTAGGTGGTAATGTTAACACTCTGTAACGTGCATGTAACTCTTTTTAGCCTGGGTTAACAGTGAACAAAGACGAAATTTTTTACACTTTCGACATCTTTAGATCTTGCTGTGACGCCACACGGCGCACGTTTATGCTTAAATATAAAAAGATCGTAAAAATGGTTTCTCTTTTGTTTTTTTTTTTTAATACGCTTTCAATCCTCTTCTCCTCTTTCGTCCCGGTTCTAAAACATCAAATCCTCCCTCTCCTTCCCACTCTATCGAGCCTTATCCCTCTCTATCTGACCCCTTCCCTCTAATCCCTCTCATCCCTCCCTTGATCGCTTTATCCCTCCCACCTCTCCCATCCCTCCCCATTCCTGCCCATATCTTCCGTAACCCATCCCACCCTTCCCATTTCTCCGCATATCTCCCCATCCCATCCCTACCTATTCGGTTCCTGTCCTCCCTATATTTCGACTCCATCACTCACTATTCACTCACCGCTTAACCCCATTCCTCCATATCCCTTAACACTCCTTCACGCCCTCAATTCTCTCCCCACCCATCCCATAACCTCCTTTCCCTCGCTGTTCTTTCCCATTCTATCCTCCCCATAACTCACAATCCTATCCAACCCTCCCCTCCACCTCCTATTACCTGAGTAAAGCGCATTCTCTGTGTTATAACTGCCTCTATTGCCTCCTGTAGCTGTGTCTGAGTCCAGGTTGGAACCTTGGACCCCTCACTCCTTGGTACCGGAGTCACGCTACTCAACCTCAAATCCTCGGGGTCGGATTTAATCTCGGAGATGGGTTCGGACTGGGTGGGAGAGGAGGATGAGAGGGTAAAAGGGGAGGGGAGAGGGTTAGGAGAAGGGGAGAGGGAGGAGGAGATTAATGTATCGGAATGCTGGGTAAACCGGCGTTTCTTCAACGGAGTAGTGGATTCGTTTACTCGTAAATCTTCAGGACTGTTCTCCCGGTTCTCACTGCAACATACAACAAGAATAAAGCAATGCCGCAAACTATTTCAAAGACAATGTTCCAGTAGTCTCTCAACCTTCATGTTTTGTGAGTCACCCTGTATGCAATTACAAAAAATGCAAATTTTATATTTTGCTTTTCTGTAAGACAAGTGGAAAATGAAGTGGTGGTTTTATTTGGAGAACTTTTGTTTATGATTACTGGGTACAAACTCTAACTGTTAACGGCATTGTGTCCGGTAACATTATATTAGGTACGCTTATAGATCGAAAACCACGTTCTTCCTTTGTAAAGGGGTCACACAAAACATAATAAAGATGATGACCGGAGAACGATCTATCTCATATAAATCTATATATAAATTTGGCTTGTCTGTCTGTTTGTTTGTTTGTATCCAATAAACGTCAAAACGTCTGAACCGATCGGGCCCAATTTTTTTGTGGGACATCACGTGACCACAGGGAAGATTTATGAATGATAAAAAATTTTTAAAAAATGTGTTTTAAAGGTTTTTAATTTTGTAAAAAATTCTTGAAAATCCGCGATTTTTTTTAAAATCCGCAAAATTTGTTCTTCTTTGTTTTAAAATTTAAACAAAAAGAACATGTTCACAATTTAAATAGAAGATGGGCGCGAAGCGCCCTAAAAGCCTTGTATAATATATATATGTATAATGCATTTTGTACAGTAAAAAAATTAGTCTTAATGGTATTAATGTACTGATTACCTAAACTAAATGGTACTAATGTACTGATTACCTAAACTAAATGGTACTAAAGTCTATCAAATACTTTTTCACAAACATTTCAAATAAAAATTGTACCAGTCGAAAAGTTTATCGTAAGTAAAGATTTAGAGCTATAGCTAAGGTAAAATCATTATCTACGGCCACAGTTGTCTTTGAAAAGTAAGACTAATGCTAATCAACAACGAATAGGCTGTTTAGTTTACCTTGAAATTACCCAAATAAGTGAACGGTCCCTTTAAGGTCAAAATGAATATTATTTTTCTGTTTCTCTTGGATAATTTTATAGTAGATTATGATAAATCTCTAAGAGACTCTATACAAAGATTGCAATATCTTATTTACAGTTCTACCCTTGAAACCTTAATCTCATCAAAAATGCGTTTTTCTGACTGGACAAGTCTTTATTTATGCAGGTTTCTGATTTCTCCATTGCTTCTTATAAGCTTTCGCAGAGACTCCGCAATTGAAAATGAACAATTTGATTAAACAAAAACATTGATATCTAATTAATCCTTGATCAGGTTTCAAGAGAACCATTCTAAATCGGACATTGCCGTCTTTGTATTGAAGGTATTTTTAGATTACGGGTAACTTCTTTTACAGCTGATATTATTGCTAGAAATATGAATACTAGAAACACGTTTTCTATGAAAAACAGTAGTTATTTCTGTCATATTTGTATACACATTAAGCATTGACTTGGGCACTTACAAATGTAGGTCTAAAAAGGAAGAAAGGGGATTGCCCTAAAACATGTTTCGGTGGCAATCTTATGTAATTTTGTCTTGTAACTTCATTTCTATCAATCAAGTTTTACGAATTTATATCTGCACAACAGCAAACTTTTTCAAATAATTGTTTAGTCAATAATATCTGACAGCCTTTTGTTAGCTGTGCTATTTTTACAAATAGATAAAAAGAATTATTTAGAAAAATTTTCGCTCATTTTCGTCTTAATGTGTAACCTAATGATATTGAATATTTGGCCCCAAAACAATATGTGCAGTGAGCAGTGTGCAGTATGCAGCGTGCATGCATACTGCATATAAAGGAATTAATTTTGACTTAAATTTGAAATATATATTAAATACGGTCAAATTGAGCAAAATTGTAATTTTTAATTGGAATTGTGGATATTGAGATTAAGCTTGATCCTTTCTTTTTCTTAATCTCGAGACTAACCTAATCTTGTACTTGTATCCTGAAAACTGTATAAAGTTTAACTAATCAGAGTCGCGTACACGAAGCCAGGAAATTTAAAATTTTGCGTGCCATTTAAGATTAACATACAGAAACGGGAGGGACTCTCTAATTGAAAAAAACTGGTTTTTGATTTTTCTCTACAATATCCAAGAAAGAACGGTTTAAGAAGAAAAAAAAAAGTGTGTTCATTGGATACTCAGATTAAGGATATCTCATTCTAAAGTTTTCAGCTCTGGATAATTTGCCCCTATTGTAACGGTAGCAGAAGAAGTGTGTGCATGCAAATCGGACATGCCAGTTTATAAATATGAGGGTCACTTAAAGGGACAGACCGGCTATGTAAGGTAGTTGAACTGAGTATGCAGTGTTAGGGACAAATTTTTTAGGATTCATTTGAGACATATAAAACTTTTTAAAGATCTGTAAATCCTGAATTTGAGCGCAAAGTCGACGTTTAAAATCGTACTTTTGGGTGGATAAGTTTTCAGAATTGTGTTTTTTTTTATTATCAAATAACAAGGACAAAAAATGTAAACAAAATTTTACAGTAAACTAATTAGTTGTTTAGGAACAGGTTGAGAAATAAAAATTAATCATATCATCAAAAATAAGTAATCTTATTCAATTATTAGTTTCTATAATCTATCTTTGAACACAAAGATTTTCTGCAGATTTTCAGGAATTTTTATTGAAAAGACGACATTTAAAGAATTTGAAGAAATCTGCGAACAAATTTATAGAAAATAAGAAATTTAACATTATGATGAAAAAGAAAAAAAAATTAGTTCTAACTTTGATTTATTGACAAATTTCTTTTGAGAACTATGTTCCTAACCATCTAAATTATAGTTTACTGTAGAATTTTTACTATATTTTTCGTCGTCGTTATCTAATAATTAAAAAAAACGATTCTGAAAACGTACCCATCAAAATTCATGATTTTGAACATCGACTTTGCGCTCAAAATCAGTAATTATACATCGTGGAAACGTTTTATATGTCTCAAATGAATCCTAAAGAATTTGTCCACAACACTGCATACTCAGTTTAGCTACAGGGTGTCCCACGAAACATGACAGTATGCAGGACGTCTTGAATGTCGTCTTGATTTTTGATATAATTTGCTGCGTTTATTTTTCAACCTAATTTTAGAAGTAAATTTCTAGAGATAATAATCACAAAATTTCAGGAAACAAATGTTTTACGAGGGGAGAGGGTTGATTAGACATGGCCATGCCTCATAAAGTTCACATAAAATAAAAGACGCACAAGAAACTTAAATATTTTACTTCCTGATTGAAATCAGTTTTATTGTTTTGTAAAAAATATTGAAATGATTAGCATTCAAGGATTCACATAAAACACAAGGACGTGGGTACATTTTGCAATATTCTGATAGTTTAATTAGTCATTAGTTCGCCATCATGGAAGTTTTAAACTTTTTGCTCTTTCAGAACTTTCTAGTTTTCTTTTTCTTTATTTTCGTGAATTCAACAAATTAGTTAAACCAAAAACAAAGGAATTGATTCTTTGCCCCAAACTCAGATTTTCTTATCCCTATTTCTTTGAAATACTTTGATATTTCAAACTTAGATTATATTATATCTAACAGAATTGATATTTTGAAATATCTAAGGTCTACGACAATAAGTCAAAAAGATAAAGGAATTGGAAAATATGAGTTTGTGGCAGAGACTAAATTCCTTTACTTAGAAGAAAGAAATACGTATCTAGCTTTAGATATTTTTCTGTTTGTTTAATAATAACTACTAGACGATTTACATTATTATTATAAAGATTTATTCACACACAAAGATATAAATACATATATAAATGGTGTAGTTAAAATTTGTTTAAATAAATTTTTTTGAAAATACATAGAACATTACATAGATAAGACATTACATGGATAAGACAATACACGGATAAGACATTACACGGATAAGACATTACATGGATAAGATAATACATGGATAAGACATAAAATGGATAAGACATTACATGTTTATGTTTATGTTAGGATTATTTTCAGGACTCCTGGCGGAGTATATAAGAAAATTTCCGATTGTTGTCATGATATTCATATGGTTGCATATATCACATTAATATACAGAGTATATTATATTCAATAATTTCGAATATCCAGTGANTAGCAAATAGCAATGTCATCTAAGTTGTCCTTCATTATGGGCACTAATGTGCACAGTAGTAAAAAAGCAGGAATTTTGCCTGTAGCCAAAAACCATTTAAATAGGTTGGTCACATGATCTATTAACTTGTTTGATGCATGTTCTTAAGTTTGAGTATTAGTATCATACAGTGAATCTATTTAGAAGTAAAATTTTTGTCATGTTTTACGAATAACGAGCTGTACGTTTTGCAAAAGTTTTGCAAAATTTTACGTCAGTACAGTCGTGGTCGTCTTCATTGTATTGATATAAACGACGACCACTGTAGATAAATTTATCGAACTTAACGTCTATACATACATAGTTAAATCTGTGTGTAGGAAGTATTAAATAAGTATATATTAGATGTCAACAATATGGAATTAAATTATTTAATTCTGTTTACACGGGATGGGATGGGATGGGAGGGGGGGGGGTGAGAAGGCACCCTCCCCCCTCTTCCATTTCCGCCTTCAATCCACCAGGGCGGGGCTTTAAAAAGCTTTCAACCGATTCAAGGCTTTTTATTCATTGTTATTCATTAAAACTTGTCAAATGAAAAAGTGTAAAATTATCATTATCAAATATTTCATGTTATCACTTCTCTATAACTTTCTTCGTAATTTATTTAATCTTTCTTCTGTTGAAGTGTTTATGTATTTATCTATTTTTTTATTACTTAAAATTAACGTTCTATCTATTTATCTATCTATCTATCTATCTATCTATCTATCTATCTATCTATCTATCTATCTATCTATCTATCTATCTATCTATCTATCTATCTATCTATCTATCTATCTATCTATCTATCTATCTATCTATATATCCATCTATCTATCTACTTATCTATCTATCTATCTATCTATTTATCTATCTATCTATCTATCTATCTATCTATCTATCTATCTATCTATCTATCTATCTATCTATCTACCTGGAAAGCCTGAAAGGTTTCCCTGAAACCGGAGTATCCTCCTCCCCTGAGAGACTCACGAGTCCACGGATCTAAAATCAGATTTTTAAAAGATTTGATGGATCATTTAAAAAGCTTAAAAAGGACTTTAATCCTAAATAAAAATTAATTTTAGTTTAATGCGACTCAAAATGTCTATAAATGAGTCATAGAAAAATAGAGAATTATTTGAGTCAAGATAAGAATAAATTTAGAGATTCGGAGACAAATCCACTTTGCAGTCATGTTATGCTGTGTAAATGGTTTTAGATTGTTCATATATTTGTATACAGGCTTTCTCTGCACTCATATTGGATCGTATATAGCTCTAAAATGCAATGGTTGAAACTAAAATTTAAAAAGAATGAACCATTTTGAAAAATTGTAAAAGGCTTATATAAAAATTTAAATGTATAAAATGCTAGGTTTTTTGTGTAGTACATAAATGTGTATTTTGGCGTTAAAGCTTAGAGATAATCGTATATGACATGGGACGCACTGTACGTAAATAGGTATGTACTTGCTCAGAGTGTCTTCATATAGTAATATTCATGTACATTGTACAATATACAGAGAATAATGTAGAGGTTTGTACATGTGTAACATAGTGTACGTATATTGTACATTACAATGTAAGTAGTACATTACAATGTAAATTGTACAATTATTCTGTAAATTGTACAATTATTCTGTAAATTGTACAATTACTCTGTACATTGTATACTTTACATTGTACATCTACTCTATGTACAATGTACATTTACTCTATGTACAATGTACATATACTCTATGTACATTGCACATTTACTCTTAAAGTGTACATTGTATATTTACTCTATGTAAATTGTAATAAATCTACATGCACTCTATGTATCCACTGACCTGTAAAGATTCTGCTGCTTGAAGTATGTACTGTATATCCTGCTGTACAACGCTAATCTGTCCTGTGTACATGTATTCTACAATATGTTGAAGTTCTATCCATCGTATATCCCGAAGAATGATGATGGGGTGCTGAAAACAAAAACAAAGTTGTTAATTTCAGTGAATTTCCATTTTAAAAGGGCGCACCGATTCACAACCGTACCCTATTAATTTTTAATGTGCAATAATTTAGAAGATATCGTGGTTTTAAGATAAGTTAAAATAACTATAAATCGGAAATGCAATTCACGGGCAGCCTTAGTACATTTCAATTTCCGAGCCGGGTCAACCTTTCCGGTCCCAGTTTGTACTGTACCTAACTCTATGGACAGGACTAGCCGGTCAGGCTTTATGCTTCAGATAGGTTGAATTTACTTTTAGCAAAGGGGCAGATTTGCGTGAATTCTACAAATGGAGGGTCACTTCACACTGAACTATTTGATTTGAAACGTGTTTTCGTCTATATTTCAACAATCTTTTTTATTTTATACATTTTCATTCAAAATGCATATGCCAACAAAAAAGTATTTAATAAATTATGTTTAATGGGTCAAATTGTGATCGAAAGTCACAGCTTTCTGAAATATTGACAGAACCGTTATATCCACGTGACTTGAAATTATGTCTACAGTCCAATTAATAAATCAATCAATAAACAAAGTATGGTAAAATTGTCTGGTTTAGGAGGACATGTATAGGTCAGACCAAGGACCTCGCAAATACATTTTTGTAGACCTAGTCATGTTTATTTTAGAACTACAATAAGCCTATATCTAGCTCAGCTTAAAATAGGTTATTGGAAAAACGCTATTAGTTTTTATAAGTGGGGGGCACTGTTTCGGATCCGTATCATTTTGATGCGGATCCGGATCCGGATCCGCGGATCCGCATCCGTGATGATGGATCCGGATCCGGATCCGAGGTAACTTTTGATTCTGTGAATCGGATTTTCCCTCTTAAATGTTATGCAAGGTTATAATTTATAAACTATAGTAATCCTAAAGTTAAAAATGTCGTCATTACTATTATATAAATGTAAACATTAAATTATTAAAGATAATTTTGAAAAATTTTCGTCATGTAAATAATACATTTACGAACCATTTTGATTTATTTATTCCATGGTTTTGGTTAATTTTTGGCGCTACCCGGATCCATATCAACGTTTCCTGATACGGATCCGGATCCGAAACGCTGGTGGGGGGGGGGGTGCAACTTTTGAATCACTGATGGAGGACCACTGATTATCCTATTTCATTGCAAACAAAACAACTCTTGGTACCTCGTAGCACCTCTAGTTTTGAGTATACACACAAGGATAAGAAAAACTACCTTATCGCTTACATATTGGAAATTAAACACTTTTTTGTTCTTCTCAATAGCTTTTTAATAAGAAGAGTTTAGATATCAATCTGGCGTACAGATTTACTTTAGTTTGACGTGAAATCTGTATCTATAAAGGATGTTATACCTGTGCATCAGTTTCTAAGAATAGCTGCTCGAAGTACGGACTACAGGCCGACAATACAACCTATAGAAAAACATATATTTTTTTGTCTGTTCCTGTTCATGGCCCCGGATGGATAGATTTAAAAAATGTTGTCTTTAAAGTTCATAATTTGTCCCCAAATGATAACAGAAAATCTGCGAAATCAAAAAATTTTATTTGCTCATATTGCATATACATAGAAAAAGCGGGTAGGCCTTTGAAACATCACATCTTCTCCTGTTATCTTTTTACAAAAATAAACTTACACCTAGGATTTCCACCGCGAATTTCTTATCAGCTATAGTTCTTCGAAAAAGAGAGTTTTGTAAAATATATGATTTAAATTCAAATTTAATTACTTTTGGCTTATAATGTGACTGGGTGCATTGATAGGAAAAATTATACGTGAATTTTAATCTGTAAACGATCCAACTTATTACACATGACACAATTGATTACAAAAAGATTGTGAAATTTCGTCATTTTGGACCAGAAATGATAAATTGATTAACTGTTCAACATTTAAAAAGCAACATTATTAATACAATACGTTAAAAAAAGTAAAATTTAATTACAATCAAGTTATATTTCACAAAATCAAAGGAAAAAAAATTACATAATATTTGTTCATAGTTTTAAGAGACTGTTTATCAAACTTATGACATTAAATTTCAAATTTTTAAAAAAGACACAAGTTAAAAAAGACAGAAAAATATTCTATTTAAATACGATTTAATTAAGTTCAAGATAAACAACCTGTACGAAGAATAAGATTTCCATCGTATTTTATAATCTAAAAAAACTTTAAATACTGGCTTTTCATTGAAAAATCTTTTCACAAAGAACTGTCGATATACAACATAAATGATTTGCGTGTCTAAAACCGCTTTTGTATCATGAAAAGTGAAAAATTCTGACCAATATCTGTTTTAAAATTGATTTGAAATTATCCATTTTATAGATGCAACGTGCACCTCTTTTTAAATAAAGGGACACTTGGAATAACGTCGAAAGTCCCTTTAAACTTTAAAAAAAGTTGTAAATGAAGAAAGCAGTGTAGTTAATAAGTTTAGTTCACCTTGTGGCATTTTATACTCCGTCCCTCTGCTGTTAATGTGACATCAACTAGTAGTTCACGTCGGAGTAAAGATGCAAATACAGTTCCTAGGTTTCCTAGGTAGTTATTCCACCTGGAGATATTCAGATTATACAACCCGTCCTTGTCTTAATCCGTCCTGGTCTTAATCCGTCCTATTCTCAATCCGTCCTATTCTCAATCCGACCAAGTCTCAATCCGTCCTATTCTCAATCCGTCCTATTCTCAATCCGACCAAGTCTCAATCCGTCCTATTCTCAATCCGTCCTATTCTCAATCCTACAAAGTCTTTATCCGTACTTGTCTAAATCCGTCCTATTCTCAATCCGACCAAGTCTTGGCCTTCCTATTCTCAATCCGTCCTGGTCTTAATTCGTCCTAGTCTTAATTCGTCCTAGTCTTAATTTGTCCAAGTCTGAATTTGTCCAAGTCTTAATCCGGCCAAGTCTTAATCCGTCCTATTCTCAATCCGTCATAAGCTTAATCCGTCCTTGTCTTAATCCGTCCTTGTCTTAATCCGTCATAGTCTTAATCCGACCAATTCTTAATCCGTCCTATTCTTAATCCGTCCAAATCTTAATCCGTCCTATTCTCAATCCGTCCAAGTCTCAATCCGCCCTATTATCAATTCGTCATAGGCTTAATCTCTCCTTGTTTAAATCCGTCTAGTCTTAATCCGTCCTAGTGTAAACCATCCTAGTCTCAATTCATCCTATTTCCAATCCGTACTAGTCTCAATCTGTCCTGGTCTCAATATGTCCTAATTTTAATCTGCCCTGGTCTTAACCCGTCCTAATCTCAATTCTTCCTAATTTCAATCTGTCCTAGTCTCAATCCGTCCTAATTTCAATCCGTCCTAGTCTCAATCCGTTCTAGTCTCAATCCGTCCTAGTCTCAATCCGTTCTAGTCTCAATCCGTCCTAGTCTCAATCCGTTCTAGTCTCAATCCGTCCTAGTCTCATCCTTTCCTAGTCTCAATCCGTCCTAGTCTCAATCTGTCATAGTCTCAATCCGCCCTAGTCTCAATCCGTCCTTATTTCAATCTGTCCTAGTCTCAATCCACCTTTTTTCCCAATTCCTTATATAATTAGTCTGTTTTATTATCTTAATCTTACAAGTGCAATACCAATGTTTTTACTTAACGAGACTGTTTACGCGTAATTTGAAGTGCCCTCCATGCAAAGATGGCAATGCCCGATTTACAACGGTACCCTTGTAACCTTTATCTGATCAAGTATGAATTAGATATCAATAAATCAATTTTTTTTTCTTAAAAAAGTGACTTGCGCATTTTATGCTTATAAGAAGCAAAGAATAAATTCACATCGAGTCAGGAAACCGAAGATATCTTCCACATTTCTCATCAGATTGAAGTTTCAAGGGTACCGTTGTAAATCAGGCATTACTATCTTTGCATGGAGTGTCACTAAAAATTACGCTTACAGTCCCTTTAATTAAGATTGTTCTACCATTAATATCGTCTAAAAAGTGCAATAATAAGAAATAATCGAATAACTAAAACTAACATATACAATTGAGGAACTTAGGAAGCCGGGGTTTGGGTCCCGGAGTACGGTGGGGGGGGGGGGGGAAGTATTAATCAATCCCCTCCCCCCCCTCAGTTACTTCTATTCACAACAAGAGTGGAATTGCTTAAATCCCAAGTGTGAAAAACTGTGTCCTTTCTTTTATTTGTTTAAAACAAGAATTTAGGAATTACTTAATAAACAACATAATATTTACGAATTTAATAATGAAATAGAGGAAAATTTAAATGGTTTATTATTAAACGAAATCAAAAGTGTTGCTTACAGGAACTTAAGTGGGCCTCTATTTACAAAATGTTCGATTCACAACTCTTTAATCCTTTCTCTTATCAAACTATTATCTTCGACTAACTTCACATTACGCTACAGTCCCTTTAAAATTTAAATATATTCTTAATTCATAGAAATAAAAAGCGTAAAAAGACCTTTTTATCCATTAGATAATCAAATTTATATTTTAAAACAATTTTTGCAAAGATCTAAGGCTTAAATGCATAATATTGACGGCTGTATAGTTTTTATTTAAAAAATGAATCAAACTAAAATGTTGTAATACAACTTTTTGAAAACATACACACTGATTTTTAATTTGTATTAATAAATTTAAAACTATATATGCTAAACATCTATATTAAAGTGTATAAAAAAATCAGGGGCGTATCCAGGAATTTGTCCAGGGTGGGCTTAATTTTTTTTCTCTTTCCAGGGGGGGGGGGCTCAGCACCCATTGGGGCCTGAAAACCCCCTGAAATTAATAGATTTCACTGGTCCAGGGGGGCTTAGCCCCCATAGCCCTGAATACGCCTCTGAAAAAATCAATCATAAAAACTGTGAAATGTGTTTTTTTACCAGGTTATTATTCTTCGAATAGAAATACACAATAGAAAATATTGATGAAAACATCATGATTTCTGAGAAATACAATAAAAAGAAAACAGATCAAATCAGCTTAAAAATATGAGAAAACAGATCAAATCAGCTTAAAAATATGAGAAAACAGATCAAATCAGCTTAAAAATATGAGAAAACAGATCAAATCAGCTTAAGAAGATGTGAATACAGATCAAATCAGCTTAAAAATATGATAAAACAGATCAAATCAGCTTAAAAATATGAGAAAACAGATCAAATCAGCTTAAAAAGATGTGAATACAGATCAAATCAGCTTAAAAAGATGAGAAAACAGATCAAATCAGCTTAAAAAGATGCGAAAACAGATCAAAGCAGCTTAAAAAGATGAGAAAACAAATCAAATCAGCTTAAAAAGATGAGAAAACAGATCAAATCAGCTTAAAAAGATGTGAAAACAGAATCAAAATTTTCTTTTTCAAATTCAATTCAAATATTTCTTTATAATCTTAATCTCTTATGTTCACTTTTTTAAACTTTAAAAATTAATATTATAATATAAAATTTTTTGCAACCTTAAAAAAATGTCAACTTTTAGTATTTATTGAAAGATGATTGTGGTTGTATAATTCTGCCTTAAAGTGTAGTGCTGAGAACTGCTAGGATCCATCCTAAAATTCACAATTTTAGGAAAAAATTTAATTTTTAATTTACGGATTTTTATCATCATCAAAGCTGCGTCGTCATGTTGCCTGATAGTGAAAAAGAAGATAAAGATCAAAAACAGGTTTTTAAAATTTCTTTAGAAATAGTTCAACTAGATTTATTTAGGCCTTCTACGCAGCATAGAATAGTAGCGATGAAAATATCACAAAAAAAAGATTTTCCATAATAAATAATAATTCACCCTCAAACTAAGCTTTCGATGTGTACTGCAGTGATTTGCAGTACACTGTCCGAAAAAATACAGCTTTTTTAGTGGAGAGTGAATTCCAAAAAATAATAGATTTCTATTAAAAACTGATAAAGAACACGTAAAAAGCACAAATCATTTGAACAGTAAACCCTGCGTGTGCATAAAATCTAAAAATTAAAAAACACATTTTAAAAAAGTCTTTTTTTCTTAATATTTTGCTAATTAAGTGTAATTAATAGCCTAATTGTAACAAGAAACTGTGTCCAATTTAAGTATATGTTAAAAAATTCAATTGAAAACCATAAAATAGTTACGAATTATCTACAATTCTAAATTTGGACCTACCTTTCATCAATAATTGTCAATTATTAATTGTGCCAATATGAACAAATTTCGTGGATTTTCTGTCCTTTTCCCACACTTTAAGTTACACAACACCGCGTAGACACTATGAGTTGATCAGTTTACGCCGTAGAGTCTAGGCACCTGATCCACCTGTAGTAGTGGACTGATGAGGGGAGAGAGCGTCAGGGAACATCTTTCCACCGCGGTGCTCAGAAACCGCCGGCATCACGGCGCACCACTCTTCATCTCTTTGGGCCCTGGACACTCTTCGTAATATTCATTCACTTTTTTTGCAGTAACAGTTTTTATTTTCGAAGCTGTTTAAAATTAAAAATGTTAATTGATAAAATGTTTTGATCCGAGTCTAGGGCCCGGGAGCAACACACCTGTGAAACTCTGCTGTCCCGGAGTAACAGGTCGTCTAGGACCCAGGGCTACTCATCCAGCCTTAATCCTCACACAAAACAAAAAATACAATTTTACTTTAGCAAATTTTAAATGATTGATAGCTATGACCAAAAATGTTTAATTTGCTAATAAAAATATTATTATTTTTGCATTAGATGTTTGGAAACTAGCTTTAAAGCTGCACCTAGAAGCACTAGGCAGGCATCTACAGGGAGAAACCAGATTAGGGGGAGGAGGNCACACTGCCTGAATGACTGCTTTTGCCTGTAACAAACTAAATCTTTGTTTTGACCCACTTTCACTTGTCAGATTTTGATAAAATTTAGCTTTTTGGAAAGCCTATGAGGTATGCAAAAGACCGAGGGATAGATAATAAAAGATATAAGAAAAAACTTTGAACATTTTGATGACAGAAAGAGAATTAAAAATTTTCATTAAGTACAAAATGGAAAAAAAATTTAAAAATGACAAGAGATTATTTAAAAGGTGGGATCTTCTGTGTTGAGTGTTGAATGCTTGAGCTCGATATCTAATAAGGGGACTTTTAAATTTGAGGATTATTGCTTGATCCCTTTATATTAGTTATCCCGGCGGGGTAAAAGAGCATATACGGGATATCAAAGAGGAATAAAATTAACCCGTCGTACGTAGTTCTGCATAGATGGAGATCAATACTTGATCCCGAGTTCTGCATAGATGGAGATCAATACTTGATTCCAAGATTCACAAAATAAAAGTTCTGGCTTTAGACATAAAAACTTTAGAATTTGATAGTGATACCCTTAATACCGATCGCTTAATCTGAACATCCGCTGTGGCCACTTTTGATTTCTACTTAAGCTGATGCTTTTTTCCCCTTTCTATGGATATCCCTTCTGGATATTGAACAATGAGAGTTCTTTCATTAAATGGAGCGCAAAATTTCAAATTTCCCGGCTTCTGATTGGCTGCATTGGGAATCTGCATACACCACTCTGATGGAATGCCGCATCTAAGAAAATTTCCGGTAAAAACTAGAGATTTAAATATACTAAAGAAAAACAAGACAGCATTATTTCGATATCAACAATTCAAAAGTTTTCAGCTCAGGTCATATTATAGATTATATCAAAGTTAGATCAGATTAGAACACCTAATCGAAATTATAAGCAAAAAATAGTTTAGAATGGAATCCTAGAATTTTGAAACTTTCTTACACAAATTAGTCTTATTTTCAATTTTAATCTGTTCTGTTTTTACCGCCAAATTCCATTTTTTAATCTAACCCCGCCCCCCCCCCTCTTCTCCTCTAATAGGGCCTCTGTTTATTACGCCATTTGAAATTAATTGAGTTTGATTTTGGGCAGATTTTCTTTAATAATTATTTAAACAGTCAATGAATTTTTGAAGAAATATCTGATAATTTTCATTCTTCACAGTGTATTATGTGCAATTGCATGCATCAAGCAACAACAAAAAATACTAATTTACAGTTATTAAATGTACTTTATTTATGCATCTATATTTATTGCATTTTATCTAGGATGCATGCTTTATTATCAATAGTAAAATCTTCATTTTCAAATATTTTTTCGGAATTTTTTCGAGCTTTGATAAAGTTTAGAATGATTTAATTTGCAAACAAAAGTTGTGATATGTACATAGATCGTGTTTATGTACAGTGTGTGTGCTCTTGTACATGATACATTAGCAAATAATGTTTGACCGAAGAATTTGTTTAAATAGTTTAAAATATAATTTGTAATACAATATCTTTCTTCCGTTTTAGATTTTAGATATATAGCATAGCTGTTCCATGATATATAGATAGATATATAGATAGATAGATAGATAGATAGATAGAAGATAGATAGATAGATAGATAGATAGATAGATAGATAGATAGATAGATAGATAGATAGATAGATAGATAGATAGATAGATAGATAGATGTTTGATTAGTTTATGAACAGCCCAAATTAAAATCTTATTTTTTATGTCTAGTTTAATCTGGTTAATTGGTTTTAAGATTAGAATTTTTACAAAATGTGTATGATTAAAAAACCTAGATTAATTTAGAAATCTGACATAAAACAGGTTTTTTTTCTTAAAATCTATCTCTAGTAAATGCAACTCAATATTAGGATACGATTCATTCAGTCTTTTGCAGAATAGAAAAACCTTTTTTTCTCTCAAAATTTTACAGTTGCTAAGAGCTGGAGTTTTCGCCTCAAATAAGTTTTTTTTGTTATACTCTCCTCCTTTCAACCTTATACCTAAGTAACTGTAAACCTTTTTCAAAACTTTTTCAACCTTTGACCATTGGAATTCATTTGAAATTAAATATTCTACATCATCAGGTTGCACGAGCATAATTTTTTTTTTATATTTGTGTGTGTTTTCATTTACTGTTTTTTTTTTTATTTGCCATAACAATTTTCAGAATAGAGTGATAACCAGAAAGCTCTGGAATACGAAGACGACTTTTATGCTCAGTGGACACAGACCCATTTAAGTTAATTAGTCATTTAATAAGTGTTTAATAAAACTATTTGCTTTGTAACAACTTCAAATAAACTTAAGTATTGCTTTAAAGTCGTCTTCCTATTCCACAGTTTTCTGGTTAGCACTGCAGAAAATTTTCCTTGTTTTTGTAAAAAAAAGCAATTATTGATTGTTGATACCATCTTAAAAACTGGTTTTTAAAGATTATTTATCAAAAAAGTGTTGAAAAGAAGAAGGTTGCATACTGCACAGACAGATGTAAGGATTTTAGATTATCGTATGAGGGGAGTTATAAGTTCCTTTAAGAATTAGATTCTCTTTAAACCACCAGCTTGCACTCTAAACTCTAGATAGCTAGGAATTTCTTTCACTGGACGAGCTAGCTAGGCGGATGCAGCGAAAATCAATTTTCTAAATTCGTACTTTATAAAATACTAGCTGAAGTGCCCGGCGTTACCCGTGGAATTTTTAAAAATCAAATTTTTAAAAATCGAATTAAAAAACTCGAATTTTTGAAAAAAACTCGAATTTTTTAAGTCTATGTCACAAACGTGGTACTAAAGGGTTTCCTCAACAAATTTCAGCCCATTTGGTCCAGCCGTTTGGCAGGCTAAAGGGTATATATATACGAATGTCTTGTTTTATTATTTAGATTGAAATATAGTAAATCATGAAGCCGAAACCAATATAAGTACATGAATGGGACCGGGTTGGTACCAGGCCCGTAGCCAGGGGGGTGCAAAGGGTCATATGCACCCCCTTTCTCCTAAAATTGGGGTGCAACGACGAATTTGCACGCCTCCCCTTCTTTTAATTAAGTTGCTTGGCTTAATCTTCTCTTGAAAAATTTAAATATTACTATTTAAAGTTGTCACAAATTATTATCAATCTGATGCAATGTATCTATAGTGTATGTATGTATATATATCCGAAACAATTAATTTATTAACCCTATTCCTGCTGGGGGGGGGGGGTCAATTTGCCCCCCCCCCCTGTAGTTTTTTTACATAACTCAAAAAGTATTGGTCTGAGGCTGTTGAAATTTTCTGACTTTTCTTACATACCCAAAGCCCTCCCTTTAGGCCTAAAACCGGGCTTTAATACTAACTGCCTGAGTCCTCAGGCACACTGCCTGAATGACTGCTTTTGCCTGTAACAAACTAAATCTTTGTTTTGACCCACTTTCACTTGTCAGATTTTGATAAAATTTAGCTTTTTGGAAAGCCTATGACATAAGGAAACGGATTGCACAAGTTTTGCGAAAAAAAAATTGCAAATTTTTTGCAAACAACCTGTCAAAGGAAATTTGCACATTTTTAGTTTTTCTTGATTAAAAATCAGGTTATTTAAAATTTTGCAAAAATTTTTGCATATTTGAAATGGCATGGCCAAGGGCTTTTCAAAAAATGTATAATTTTTCATTTTTTGGACAAATTTTTTTTGCAAACATTTTTACTATAAAACTGGATTTTGCGATAAAAAATTCAATTTTCGCAAATTTGCAATTTTTTTTGCAGATTTTAAAAGTAGAGCACAAGAGCTTTCTAATGATGTATCATTTGTCATATTTGGACATAAAACATGGGATTTAGAGGGGGGGGTCAATTTGCCCCCACCCCCAGCGTATCCTGGTTTTCAAGTACCCCAGCAGGGATAGGGTTAAAGCTGTTCCCTCAGACCAACCAAATTAAACATTTTAGGAAAAATATTTGTCCAAAGGTAAGATTATCTGATCGAACTGGTTTGTTGTTCTGTTTCATATGTCGATATACATTACATCCATACAATGTAACAATATGTTCCAGTCTCAAAATTCAATTCTTTAAATTTTGCAGAAACATTGCCTCAGTTTCAATATTTTGTCCAACAATTCAAAATCAGTGATCGTCAGTAGTAATATCAAAATTATCAACATTTTCTGTCTTCCAATATTGTAAAATTTTAGCTAAAAGCTAAATTATGAAAATTTTCTGTGTATACCATATACGAAACGTCAAATTCAGAGAAAAATCGAATTTTCTCTGTAACATTAAGTCCAAGCTAACACTACCGTTGTTGTGCACTCCTGTATGCCAAGTCCATGAGCGCCTGATCCAATCAGGGTTCAGACATGTGTTTGTTGTCCATTCTGAACCAATAGAAATAGTATGGCAGTAACATCTATCTTTCTATCTCATTATCCAATCAGAGTTATGAATCCTTCAATCAGGGCTATCAGTAAATTGAAAAATTTACTTCTACTGAAATTATAGTGTGTGGACAAATTAGTAAATAATCTACATAAAAATAAAGCTAAAATTACTAATTACTAGCTTTCATACCA